TGTATTTTGGATGAGGGTGTAAGTGTGGATGGGTGTCTTCTCTTATGTCATAACCACTCACACTTACACACTATTTTTTTGAGTTTCCTTTACGATAAATTGCAATGTCAACAGCTCTGATGATTGGAACGTTGTTGAACAGATCTTCTACATCAAGACAAGCTAACTTTTCATCAGGATTTGTTTATATTTTTATAATTTTTTTCTGGGAATTTCGATGTGTTTGATACGGTATTAGCTATGGTTTCTTATAATTGTTTTATAAACGAAAAGTTAAATTTGGATATCAGTGATGTTATTGTATTTCTTGCACAGGTGATAATTCGCATAGGATTATTTTGTTTATGCATTTTTGGTTGCCCTCCGATAGTTGACAAGTCATTAATTGAAGTTAATTCGTGTTTTATTGATTTCTTTATTTTATTATTTAATTTTGCAATTTTATATTTTATTTTGTTCGTCTTTGAATCATCAAGTTTTTCTTCTATCTTCTTTATGTACTCATTACGGTTCATAATAATTGTTTTGCCTCCGTTGTCCACTAGAACTATGATGATGTTGTTCATACTCTTTTGTTATATTGTCTTATTTTATGTTATATAGAACAAAAAAGCATAATTTAAAAAATTAATAAATTCTTGTTATTTTAATACTATGATTTCTTTATAAGATTTTTTCTTTTTGTTTAATGTAAGTCTTATTTAAAACATTGAAGTTTTTCTTGTCAGTGATAACTTCGTTTACAATGTTATGCGTTGACATACAATCAACATCATATATCTAAATAAAACATTATAGATATATTTAAGAGAATTTTTCGATCTTACATTGCCAACGTTAGTAAGAATTCCATAATGATTCACTCTTATTACTTTTTGACATCTATTACATTTATCCAGGTGGAACAGTCTAGCACGGAAACGGCTAGCTCCGTGATATTTCTGAAAACGGATCCGATCGTCAGATCATTGTACTGGTTTCCTGGCGGTTTTTGTTGAAAGTTCACGGGATACTGCGCTAGGAAGCATCATCCTGGTTATGCAGGACCAAAACTTAAACAAGTACACATTCTAAAAGTAAATTTTAACGATTTTTCTTTAAAACTTTTTCTCTTACGTCCTCGGGTAATTGTTTCATAATATCTTTCTTCTTTACATTGTGCATCACATCTTTCACGGAGACCTAGATCTCCCAAAGGATTACACTTCACGCAAATAACTTCTTGATTTTGAGTATCGACTGGCTAAATGAAGTCACTAGTTTGTTGAAAATTAATGTATAAAATTAATTCTTTATTGAAAATTAATGAATAAAGCTAATTCTTTATTGAAATTTAGTAAATAAAGTGAATATTTTGTTGCAATTTAACGAATGAAGTTACTACTTTGTTGAAATTTAGTAGATAAAGGTGATAGTTCGACGAAGATTTGTGAAATATGACTGTCGAACGAAAAGAAGGTATGGCGTGTGGGTGAGGGTATGTGAAGGGTATAATACTCATACCCACGCTCACTCTACCCTAAAGAATTGAATAAACTGTATCGACAATAACTTCTAGATTATCTAACAGATGAAAAATAATATCAAATTACTTTTAGTTTTATTATAATGCATAACAATTAAATGTAAATTTATTTAACATTCTTACTTTATCGTATAGTAGTAAAATAAAATAGCTGACAGACACTTCTCTTTTTTACGAATAAAAATAAGTAAACTAGTTTGAATCTTTTTCTTTTTGTTTAAATATTTCAGTAAAAGTAATTGACTTTTTACATATGTATTTTGATATTATTCAATAACGTATATACAATTTATCATAACAAAACATGTGAGTCATATATTTATATTCTTTCATCGGTAGATGTTGCCTTCCTACAATGAACAATCAAAAGAGCGACATAATATATTATTTGTATTTTTCAATTGGAAATACTACTAATCTTTCCACAAATTCACAGCAAATAATATTCGATTAGGCATGGATGTGATAGTAAGATGGATATACACATTGATATTGTCTCACACCCACACCCACACCCTCAAGTATGAATTCAATTCGTTATATAATTTTCTTAAATAATGATCAGATAATGATTGTGTTATCTTCGAAAATGAAGGAACTGTTTTTCTATTCATTAATAAATAGTATTCCTTACATTACGACATCATGTATATCTGCTAATTATAGTGCACCATCTTGAGAATGTGGGTATGGATGAAAATAGTTACATATCACACATCCACGCCTTCAAATTATGTGTTCTACTCTTGGTGTTGAAAAGAAAAGTAATGTGTTCCCATAGCAAATAGATTCAAATATGTGTGTCGCATGACACATAAGTAAAAGGGAAAAAAACAGCAACATTAATGGCATAGTTTTCTTTTCTTCTACTTTTCTCTTTCACTTGTACTGAATATCAACATCATTGCTACTTTATATTGCTTAAAGAGTACTTATCTATATTAATTTATTTCATTCTTGCAACGAAAAATGAGTGAGAGAAGATTAAATGAGAAGTGCCAGTGTCGGTACAACATTCTTAAAGCTTAAAAAAATTAAAAGGTTTATCTATTTGTAGCGTTGATATTTTTATCTATATGATCAATTATGTGGTTGACACTTCTTGTATCAGCCTTGAGCACAATAAATCCAAATACAGCAGCCACACCAAAGGCAACTGTAGCTACCGCTCTCCAGTTCACATCCTTGTAAACTTTCTTAATTTTTCCGTTTTCATATAGCTCAATATCGACCGTTTGAAAAAACCTTGATTCTTGTAGTTTTTCTAGTAGATTATGATTTGACCCAGTTTCATCTTCTTTCAATTCAGCATTAACACTTGATGTAATTGCTTTTAAACCAGATTCCATCTATTTGTTTACATAAAACTAAGATTTTACTTTCACGCGAAAGTGCGTAAATTTTGAAATGTAATGAGTGTTTACGAAAAATTATTATTTGGCAACGAGTATAATGATGAACAACTCTCAACTCCGGTTGTTCTTTTAAATCATCTTGCAGTCAAAGAATTGTTGTAGCGTCATAAGATGTCACTTCATGACACTAAAACATGTCTAGATGAGGGTGAGGATGTGAGTATAACTTTGAGCACTCTATGATATCCACACCCATATCATCGAACACCCACTCACACCAACCGCCCTGTTCACACCTAATCCACATCCTTACCCTTACCCACAACGACATCCGCACTCTTCTATTGAGAAAAAGAAGTCATATTTATCTTTGTAATGACAAATAATATACACATGACGTTACGAAAAAGATAATCAAAATATGTCCAGTTTATCTATGAAATATCTATAACTAATTTGACTGTAATAAATAACTAAATGACAACAACGGCGAATATTGTTGAGAATCAAATGATGACTAATTCAACATTTACTAAAAATATACACATAGAACATATCGATCATGAACGCATATGCAATGCTGAAAGTGTACCAAAAGAATTCTTCTGTCCAATATGTTCATGTTTATTATGGCAACCTCATTTTTGTGGATCATGTCAAAATCTATTCTGTGAACACAAATTTTATGTCTTCTGTCGAATATTGGAATTTGATGTCGATATTGTAAAAATCTAATATTAATGAATGAAATCGAAGCACACGAACAAGAATGTGGTCAACATCTTGGTAGGTGTTCTAAATGTAAGTGTCATTTTCCATTATGTGCCATAGAGGAATATCAGTTATCTTGTATTACATAACAATTTATTTCAAGTGTGGAATCAAGCATCTTTAACAGAAGAAGAACGAGAAATGCAAATGTATTATTATAATTTATCTTGGTATCATCGATTATTATCAATAATTACTCTTATTGTGAAGAATCCATTTGATGCTTTTTATATTATTTTTGTTGTATGGGTGACCAGTTTTTTTCGGAGGCTTTTCAGCGTGCATAATATCGATCAGTGTTTATTTGTTTCGAAACATATTCATTGGTCTTGTTTCAGTCATTTTATTCACTAGACTTTTACATAACATTGCACCATGGTTTCTAAACTCAATCAATGATAGTTCAATCATAATGGTTTCCACTCCCGTCTTCTTCATAGTGGGATCTTTACTCATTTATATGAATTCTCATATGTTAAACAGGAAGAATGGTATCGGATTGGGTTTGTTGGTATTTATTCCAAGTATTGTTGTGGGAAAACTTCTTTTACTCTTCATTCGTTTTTATTTCCAATGAATTCCAGCGCATGTGACAGCAACTTTCACTACTGGAATTAGTATTTTCATTACTCTAATACTTCGATACTTTTTGACATTGCGACAGTCATCTTAGAAATAAAACATGTGCGAACTGATTATTTTTGTTCTTGATTTTATCTAAAAAACATAAGATAGTTTTTTGTGAATTTGAGGTTGTGTATATTATTGAAATGAAATAAACATGATGTCGATAATCGGAAAAATCCAAGCTGATTCTTTTTAAAAATAATGCAAATCTTAAATATGTTTTATTGATTTTAAAAAAAAGCTTGATTATAATGTTTTGAAGATTTGTAAGAAATAAAAATAAGTAAAGAACTGTTTTATCAAACAGTCAACATACAAAAATATCAACTTATTGTTTTAACAACAATAAATTGACTCATTATTTCAACAAAGGAAAAATAAACTATTATTCTACGCATTAGATTTTTTTATTATATTCTTCGTATTTGATACTGGAAATATATCTTAAAATAAGTTCTTTTTAGTACTCCATCGAATAATTTAATGTCCTTTCATTTGTTTGGGACATCGTTTTATCATGAAGAAATTTTTGAACTCATTGACCCAACAACGTGAAGAAAAGTTTCTACGAGAGAAAAGAAAGCGTATATCATTTTTCTATTTCTCTTTTCTCTCATTGTGAAGTGCTATTAATAAGAAAAGATTCTCTATCATTATTCTTTCATTTCTTTTATTCTTAAACTACAAGTCGAACGCTCTTTTGTTTTCTTTGAATTGAAATCATGTCGTCGGAATCATCAAACAAAGATACTGCTTCAGATGGAACAACATATGGTGATACAACTGGCAAAGGTGGTTCTGCTCAACATGGTGGATCAGGTGGTGCTGGTGCACCAAATATTACTGGTACACATGGAGCCCCAACAGGAGGTGGAACGGCAACAACACATCCTGAAGACAATCATGATCATGGTGAACATTCTGAAAAGAGTGGTGACGAAAAGCATTAAAAATATTTGTTCAAATAAAAGACATTTTCTTATTCATAATCCTGCATTTTTGTACTGTATAACACTTTAATTTTTCATGCAACATTTTTTTTTCGTTTAAAAACAATTTATAATAAATCGAAAGGTTTATGTACATGAATTTATTCTTAAATTAATACAGCTTGATTAATAATAGAAAAAACAGAAACGTTATTTATTTGCATTGTTTATTTTCATGTGAAATTCCACCACACCATGTATCATCATGTTTATCAATTGGAGTTTGTGGTTGTGCATTTAATGAAGTTGATGCATCTGTACTTTTTTCACTTGCAATTAAACCTGTTGAACCATTTGTAGTTAATCAGTTTGCATCATCCTTTTTTGGAAAATTATTTAATGACGAATCTGCTTTTTGTTTTGATGAAGACGTGTCTATGTAAATGAAATAAAATAGATAAAGAAAAAGTTTGTTTTTCTTTATCATATCCACGTGATACTATTTCGTCGTATGTAAATGCGCAAGATTATTTTCATAATATTGTCTCGCCATACTGTTTATATTTATCAATAAGATCATTGAAAGATAATTTAGCTTCAACAAAATCTTGAAATAATACGAAAATCAAACATTTTTAATATGATAAATAATACTAACCATCTTATTTTAAATTATTCATGAATACATTTAAATAATTCTTTTATTGATGTATAATTATTTATAAATAGAATCATTTTAATTTTATCGTATATCATCTAAGTATCACATGAAACAATTTGATTTTAATTATTAACTATTTCTTTGATTAGGTTTGACGATGTTAATGAGATGAAACTTGGAAGAAAATAATATAAATCTGAATAAGGAATTATATTTGTAATTAACTTACGTAAATCACCATTTAATTGATATGACTAAACAAGATTGATGTGTAAAAAGATCGATAAAAAAAATAATTCTCATCTAATGGAATATGTATGATTTCACTCATATTATTGTCATTTGATTCAGTGGAAAAACATACTCAAAAAATATTATATTGCATAATATGATGAACATAGTAATGCCTACGTATTTTATTTTGAAGTAGGTGTTAAAACATGCATTGAATTATTGCAATAAACTGACATCTTTTATGTAATTTTGTCATTAGTTCTAATTCTAATACTCTTACTTTCTCTTAGATCATCTATTTTTGATTTAGTATACGAATGAATTTATCAAAATTTGATTTTACTCGTTTAAAAAACCTTTTACCATCAAGTTTAAAATCTTTATCAATAAATCCTACATCTGATTTAATACGTGAAGATGAAAATAATGATACAGAATTTTATTCAACACCGCGTTTTGTTCATCATATTGATGATAGAGCTCGATATGTTTTATCTCAATTCTATACTTATGCAATTAAACAAACACCAGAAAGTATAACATTAGATTTATGTTCGTCATGGACTTCACATTTACCTGAAAATTTCATTGGTAAAGTCTTTGGTCTTGGAATGAATGAATTAGAATTAAAAGAAAATACATCTCTAAATCAAGGTTATACAGTACAAGATCTAAATCAAAATCCTTCATTATCGAAATTTTCTTCAAATACATTTGATTCAGTGATATGTTCTGTTTCTGTTGATTATCTTATTCATCCGTTAAAAGTTTTTAATGAAGTTGGAAGAATATTAAAACCAAATGGATTATTTATAACTTCATTTTCAAATCGTTGTTTTCCGACAAAAGTTATTCGAAAATGGCTTTATATGAACGAATTACAACGTGTGGAATGGGTTGCAAATTATTTTCTTCAAACAGATACTTATTTTAATCCCATGACAATCAATGCTTATTCATTTTTCGATGAAAATTTTTTACCAATTACCGATGAACAATATATAGATCCAATGTATATTGTCTCAGCAAACAAAAAGTAAAAGAAAAGAAACGTTAAACAATGTCACCAAGACAAATATGAATAATCTACACAAATTTCTTTCTTTTCACTTGATCTAATGTGGAGTTCAATGCATTGGTGTTTGTCCACTATAATCAATATAATTTTCAAATGATAATAATACTCCATTCGTTAAAAGTCTTGTGACTAATTCAGCTTCATTATTTGAGACTAGTGTGGCAAAATGAAATTTTTTTCGATTTTCTAATTGAATTAAATAAAGTTTATATTGTTTTTTTTATGAAGAATTCGATTGAATTCTTGGTTGTTGAAGTTAATTTTGATTCTTTAGTTTGTTATGCTTCAAGATATTATGCTACTCGATGATGTCTACAACGATAAGCTTCCTCAATTGGTGTATAAGTCTATCGATCTCCTTAGTTAATTCAATTTAAATCTTATTTTTTGATGAAGAATGTTTACGTAAAAATTGAACTCTTGAAAATTGTGTAAGGATATTTACCATTTGTTTCAAATTTCCTTCAGTAGCAGCTGTACAAAATAAAAGCTAGTAATAAGCTTTCTTTTATAGCTTTTCTTAATTCCTTTTAAATTGATCCATTTTTATCTGCAAATTCTTCTTCAATATCAAAATCATCATCATTACTTTCGATTAAGATATCTGATATACTCTTTGTAAAATCTTTTATCCATTCTTGAAAGTCAAATGTGATATAATTATTAGATAAACGTAAAGCGTCATCTAACGGAATATAACTATAATGATCTATGATTGATATTGATGCACTGTCATCGTTAGCTAAATATCTTACAATCGAATGATGATTCTACTTACGCTAAAAATGCAAAGTGGTTCTTCCATTATAATTAATTATACCAATGTTCATTTTATACCGTTGGTAGATATCAAAGTATATCATTTATAATCTTATATAGAAATTCAATTTTAAATTTAAATCAAATATATTTTATTTTTTTTCACTTAGAATATGTTGATGTTGCTCGAAGCAAAATGTTCATAAAAAGTTAAAAATGATGTTTATCAATATTTTTTTATAATTTTAATTGGTCGATTCCTTTGCAAAATTTTTATTTTTTGTTCGACGTAGACCTTTTGAAAATTCTTGAAGTTGTTTTCATCAATAATCACTTCTGTTAACGTTTTCTTCATGCCGGCACAATCCACATGGTAAACCTAAATGGTTTTTATTTAGTTAATCAGTATTTTAATATGAATGATCAGTATATTGTGATCAATAGAAAAGTATTTTTTGATCAGTAATTTATTTCCAAATATCAGTATTTAATCCTTATTTTGTCAATATTTTATTAATTCATATCGGTAAAGAAATACACCTATAATGAAGAGAACCTTATTGAATGAGGAACGCTTTTTTGGTTTTTCGTGGTCTATCACGACGTCTTCTTTTACCAGTAAGAATATTTTTAACAGCAAATGGTGGCTTATAATAATTAGATCTTATTGCTATTCATATATTTTACTTTGAATATAGCAGACATATATGTAAAATAGCAGGGAAAAGACCCAACGATACTTGAAAAAATATATAACGGGAAGGAAAATACCTAAGCTATAAACAAGAAAAGAGAGTACTTCCAAAATACCCTAAAGCGAAGGAAAGAAAATAATAAAAGAAGAGATATATATTATTTGATGACGTCTCCAACAAACACTGTAGACAGCATATCTTTTATCTATAACATAATATTTTTATCGAAAATAAAAGAACTACTTACTAATCAAATAAGATGTATTAAATAATCAAATATCATTTCAAAGATTCAAACTGAACTAATTACTGATATTTTTATTTTAATACTGAACAAATTATTAATTGAATGATTACACAATTATTTAACTGATCAAATACAATAGCTACTGATCATTCAATTAAATACTGATACTTTTAATTTTTTACTGATAATTCATATCCATTACTGATCATTTATGATAAAATATTGATCATTTAATTCTTAGCCAACATAAATTTATCGAATGTAGATATTCTAATCTTACCTCATTATCCTTATCGTATACACCATAATAGTTTTCTCTGACTTGTTTTGAGCATACAGCACAATCTCTTTCTTTTGGAAGTTGAACAAGTCTTCCTTCTAAAAAACAATTTGTAAAATTTGTTATTCTTTGTTAGCTCGCTTCGTTGAGCTGATGTTTATTTCAAAAGAAAATCACTCTTTATAACACACACACATACACGCTTATATAGGTACATAGAGAGGAAGAGAAGAGAGAGAAGAAAGAAATAGTTAGATCATGATAGATCGAAAAGATATATATTCTAGGGGAGAACCTCTTTATTATTCTCCCCTAACATTCTTTTTTTGTTCTTACGATTTTCAAGTTACGTTTCTGTATAACATTTTTCGTTAAAAAATTATGCCACAGGTTTTGCATAGTCCTACTGCATCATCTTGAGGGTGGGTGGGTGTGAGTAGCTACGCAGTCAAAGCCGTATTTCTAAATAAAAGATTGTAAACATTTTTAAAAAAAATATTTTTTGATCTTACATGACCAACGTGAGTAAAAACTCCATAATGGTTGACTCTTACTACTTTTTGGCATCTAATGCAATTATGTTGAAGTAGAACTTGTCCTAGTGTCCCTTATAAAAGTAAATTTTAAAGATTTTTCTTTAAAATTTTATCTCTTACGTCCTCGGGTAGTTGTTTCATAATATCTTTCTTCTTTACTTTGTGCATCACATTTTTCACAGAGACCTAGATCTCCCAAAGGATTACACTTAACGCAAATAACTTCTTGATTTTGAGTATCCATTAGCTAGATAAAGTTATTAATTTGTTGAAAATTAATGAATAAAGCTAATTCTTTATTGAAATTTAGTAGATAAAGTGAATATTTTGTTGCAATTTAACGAATGCAGTTACTACTTTGTTGAAATTTAGTAGATAAAGGTGATAGTTTGACGAGAATTTATGAAACATGACTATTGAACGAAAAGAAAGTATGGCGTGTGGGTGAGGGTATGTAAAGGGTATAATACTCATATCCACGCTCACTCTACCCTAAAGAATTGAATAAACTGTACCGATAATAACTTCGAGATTATCTATCAATATAACTGAAATTTATTTTAGTTCCAGGTCAAAAGCAACGGCAACGTAAACGATGTAAAAACGACAAAAATGGTTACTCTTCCGGGATATCGGATTACGGCAAAATACGACGAGAATTAATGCAGTAATATATCGTTTCCGATGATCGGACTGAACATCCTGGGTTATTTTATCGGCTATATAACCAAAACAATGTTGCTAGAAAGCTCATGTATTACAACCGAGATTTAAATATCAACAGTTTTATTTAAAGGATTTTTTAATAGAAGTTCGATATTTAGAGAGAAACAATCAGCTATGAAATATATAATTTCATTTTTGCATTAGAGAAAATATCGTATTGATGTATTTCAATTAATTAGCTCAAATTTCTCGATCTGTTTATAAAAACTTTAAAATTATATTTCATTACTTTTAGATAACAATTTAATTTAAAATACATGAAGAAAATTATGACAAAGTAAACGAATTCTTTTAAATAAAATATTTTAGATTTTTCTCTTGTTTTTTTAATTTAACCAAATTACAGACATTTACAACAGCTTGTTTTTCATTAAAAAGTCTAGAATTTCAAAAAAGGTACACAAGAATATCATGGTTATCAAGATGTAATGAGAAAAATTTGATCTGCACTTGAATTATTAATAACATATCATATATTTGAAGATGAAATTCTTTTATCAATTATTCGTTGTATTATTCAATATAATTTTGACGTCGTTTAAATGCGGGTGTATGTGAGAATAGATCATGTTTATTAAAAATCGATGTAATATATTTGAAAATAAAAAAGTTAGTTTCACAAATTAACAATAAAAAAATAAGTAAAAAATGCATAGATGTCAATCACAGAAATACTTAGTCTTCGGTTAATCTCACATCTAGAAAAAATAATATAGATTATAAACAGAGTAAAATCAATAAAATAATCTTACCACTTGTCGTTAATGCTGATCTCAATCTTGGTTTTGGTTCCTTAGACATTTTAACACGATCCATTGCATCCATCATCCATTGCATACATCTATTCATCTATAACGAACAAAGAAAAAGCTATATTAATAAGAATTTTAGTTGATTATTACTTCTTCAGCATAAGTACGAAGATCTCCAACAACTTTTTTTATTGATGTCATTTCATCAGTTATTGCTTTAACATCGAGATTCGATGTTAATGAAGGCATATTAAATGCATCAGCAGAAGATGATAAAAGTTCTTGACGTGCAGCTGATGGTACAAGAGCGGCAGCTGAAGTTGGTTGACCACTAACTATTCGTCGAGCATACAAATTTGTTGCATAACTTTCAAATTCTGACCAATCTTTATCTATTTTTCGATTAGCACCAACCATTTCTAAAAATTAATAAACATCAACATAAAGAAAATTCATAACATTTTATCTATATTACTAAATGTTTTTGCTCGTGCTGGCTTCGAAGATGAACGTTTTCTTCCTGGTAAATGTCGTATAATCAATTTAATAATTTCAATAAAATGTGTTATAATAATAAATGGAGGAAAAAGTGGTGGTCGACCAAAATATTCACGAACTAATGAATATCGTTCATAACGCCAAACAAGATCAGTGTCCCTTTGAACAGCTTCAAATGTAAAACTGAACATGGCAATAAGAAGATTAATGAGAAGAATGTTAACAAATAACATATGAAATGCTAATAAAATATGAGTAGCAATTGATGTAGCCATATCGGGATTTTCTAGAAAGGAAATCATGTAATTTAAACTTTATTTAAAAAAAATATAGAACTATACGATCAAGTGCTCCCGTTTCGCTATCTGTTGATCCATACATAAGATAATAAACTGGATAAATAATATGTCGAAAAATTGATCGACCATCAAATGCTAAGTCATTACCACTAGCATCAGGACCAAAATCATACATAGATCGAGAAACTACACCATATGCAAGCATTGCAATTAGAATAATACATATGAAGAAAAACAAATCAATAATCTAAAAATATCAATTAGAATAATAAAATGAAATCATCAAACATACCATTTTTCGTATCATAACGAGTTTAGGACCTAGGTTTTTTGCAACATTAAGAAAAGTTAATGAACGAATATAAAAGATTTCAAGATCATAAGCAAGAATTATTTTAGCAACTGATAATTGTTCATCATCGGATGCATATACAAAACGAAGAATAAGGCCAATATAAAAAAGAACATATGATGCAATACGAATTGAACTAAACAATAGATCATTAACAAAATAATTATGCAGCTTTCCAAAAAATGTTCGATTATCCAGACAAAGGAACTAAAAATAAAGAAAAAGCTTTTGAATAAGAAAAAAAAGCTTTGAAATAATTTACTCGTCGAAAATCTTCCATAAGCATTGTTGATACATAAATAATAACTAAAATTTCTGTCCAATGTATACTTGGAATGTCATCTGTTGGAATATTAAAATTAAATAACAGATAATAAGAAAAGAGCAACAGGAAAAATGTGTAACTAGCACAATTATATAAAAATTTAATAAATGGAGCTTCATGAAATTGTTTTAGACGACGAACATATTTTTTACATCGATTTGAAAAAGATTTTGATTTTGGTATATAAATATCAGAATAATTAATACCATGATTATCTAATCTAAATAAAATAAATAATATTAAAATATATAAATTAATCTTCAGAATTAAATATTTACTTTTTTTTTTCGTTTGATAATAATTTTTTTCTGTTTTCTTCTTCCTCTTCGGTTTCATTAACTGTCATTCCATACGTTTTATTTTGATTATGAAGAAAATTATCTATACTATCCGTTTCCGATTCTGGTTTACGAAATGAAAGTAAGAAAGGTGCTAATAAACCAAATGTACAAAGACTCAAAATTAATGCAATTCGTTTCGGCATTGTTAATTGAAGTGGTTCTAATTTGTCATACCAAACATTAGTCAAAAGTTGATCACAACATGGTTGACCAACAAAATTTTTATCATCAGCGTCAACAGCTACCTAAAAATAGAAACATTCAACTAAATCTTCTATTTATTTTTCTTCAAAAAGTTTTTACTTGAAGACATGAAACACCACCAAATATATTAATACGTCGAATAGCAATTTCACATGCTATGGCTTCATCACAATTATAACAACATTTTAAACATTCCTTAGCATATTCTTCGAAAGTTTCAGCTTCAGAACGTAGAACATCTTTGGATTCATTATCACGAGCAAACTTTGCATATGACTTTAATACTTTTGATGCGATTAATGCAGCACATATACGTGTTTGCATATGACGTAATAGAACTTTTGACATTTCAATACGGTTTGTTAATATTGACCAAAAAAATAAATCCCGATAAACAAGTTCTTGAGCTTCTTTTTTAGCTTCTTCTGGATCGGGTACTTCTGAATCATCATCATCGTAATTATTATCGTCTTTATATAAAACAGTACGGCTATCTGAAACACGGCCTCTTTGCGGACATCCACAACACAATGAAAGTCGTCCTATTGGTCCATTTACTGAAGTAGAATAGGTTGGTTTCATATAATCACCTATTAATTTTCTTAATATTCGATCAAGTTCTTCTTTGTGTTCAATTTTTCCACTTTCATGACATTTATTAAGCAAATAAAGACGTTCTTTCTAAGAAAAAAGAAAAATAATTAAATATAATATAGATTTTAAAATCTATTCTATTCTGTAGTACATTTTTCTCATGATCATTATTATATATATCAGATAATTTATCCCATTTTAATTTCCATGGTTTATTTGTTTTTCCTTCATAAAACATTTTAGTTATATCAAAATTTAGTTTAATAAATGTATTAACAAATTGTGAACGATCACGTCTAAGAGCTTCGAAAAATAGTTCGGCTTTCGTTGGTTCCTATAGAGAAAAATAAACATAATTTAATAATAAATATTATTTTCTTTTTTTTCCGTATAATTACATCAAGATCACTTAAATCATCTTTTATAATAAGTTCTTTCGCTACTTCAATTGCATCCCAAGCAAGTGCCAATAATAATAATTGTTTTCGAGTAGATGCTTTATCCGCATCAGAACTTTTCTCTAGGTTTGCTATTAAAATAAAAAGAAAGAAATAAGTATATTCATAAAATACCAATTATTCTACCATGAATAATAGCTTCAAAAATAGTATCATCTAAATCATGATCACCATCAAGACTATAAACAAGAATTCTTGATCTAACAGCTGGTTGTAAACAATAAAGAATACAATAAAATAATTCATCGGAACTTTCAAATTTTTTCGATCCTTTTGCTATATCTCTTAAATCATCACGTATTTCACTTTCATAAGGCTGAAATTTGTTTTTCAATCTTAAAAAATAATTATCAATAAATATATGTAAATATAATAATAAATATAGATTTTACTTTTCTTTATCATTATCATCTATAACATCAACTACTTTTTTCCAATCAGCAGCTTCTTCTTTTCCTATTCGATGAATCATTGATTCTGTACGTGCAAGATAATTTGCAAGCATATTAGGAACTCGACCACTACCCTATATATAAATATATAATATTCAATTGTATACATAACATAGTATAAATAAAATGACTCACATCAATCAAGACTATTGGTATATCTCGACGAAGATCTTTGTAAATTGTTAATAATGTATCCGGACCACCTTCAACAACTATGGTTACAACAGGAACTTGAATAAAAGAAAATATCTAATAAACAATTAGAAATTGAAAACCTATTAGATTACCATTTTTTTGTTGATTATTAGCATCCTTATGTTTGTAACTTGATGCGTCAAGAACAAATCTCGATCGATAATCTCCAGTATCATAATCGTAATATGTTCCATCATCAAGTAAAAGAAAATGAGTATGATTAGGCTCAAGATCTTGTTCACCTTTCTTTCTATTATTTGATGTATTCTTCGATGGATCAGGAGTACCTTTAGTTGGTTTTTTGGACTAGATATTTTCGAGAATTCAATAATTAAAAAAAAACAAATTCTAAATCTTTACTGAAATAAGAGATTCTCGATTTCTAACGGCACCCCATTTTGAACAACCAATAGCTGTAATATGGCTTCGTGGATTGGTTACTTTATGATCATGAATGGCTTCACCAACAAGTTGTACAACGCCTGTTTTAAAACCTGTTGTTACAATCCAACCATCTATTAAAACGAGAAAATTCTATATGATTTTAACATATCTTTGTTTTCTTTTACCTGCTTTTAATGCCGCTTGAATAATACCTTTCATAAATTCTCTTTCAAGTCGTTCATTTAATTTAAAATATTTAGCACCACCGATAATACACATTATTAATCGTGGTGGTTTAACTTTCCATACATCAAACATTAATTTTGCAAGAATCTTTGGTTCAGTTTCAATATCACATCGAATATAATGTGAACGAGTATTGGGTATATATCCATATGCATTATTGTAAGCAGATCTTGTATGATCGTCTTTATTCCATTTAACATTATTAACATCTTCTTCAAAAAGATCCCAAGAATGTTCACGACGAAGACGTTTACAAGAACATTGAGGATCATTTGTACTTTGATCACTAAAATCAAGTATTTGATATTAAATATATAAATAATTGAATAGTATTATCATACGCAGTAGCAGCTTTTTTATCTTTTGGAATAATAAATGTTGTGCAAGTTCGTCGTTTTATATTGAGATCATGATGAATTGCTCGAGACCAATCTCCATCTTTTGATATTGGAAACTAATTTGAAAGTATTCATTTATATAATAAAAAAATGATCAGAAAGTTACCAGTTCGACGTTACATTCGTTGCCATTTTTATTAGTATTATTATTATTATTGGAAGTATGCGTTGATCTGCCACGGCTTGTTGTCATAGTTTAATCAAATAGAAAACTTTTCTTTATGACAAATATCATAACATATTGAAACTATTTAAATAATTTGATTTCAACTAAAGATTATAGTTGTCATAATAACATCAAACTTGACAACATCACCGTAGTCGTTTTCTATGCGATAGCCTCCTGTCATAAAACAAACGAATCGCATAAGAAGGAGAAATAAAAAAAGAGGTCGCGCTTTTGACACATATGCAACGAAAAATACTACTAAGGGTAGTCAAAAAGTTTTGCAAACAGCACTTTTTTGCTTATCGAAAGACTGAGAACTTTTTCTTTTTTTTTATAAAAAGATAGAGCATTTTTTGCTCTATTTTTCTATACTATTTGAAACCTCTTCGTCTAATATCATAGTAATAAAAATTTAATAAAAACGATTTTTTTAACACCTAACTCGTTATTAGATCTTAATCGATGAAACATTTTGTATCTCATTTTATCATCTTTAAAAGCGTTGTATTTGAAAATGAAATATACCACAAGATGCAGCGTCAAAAGCTCTACAATTTATACAGGGCTACATATTTTACAGTTGCACTCTTTTATTTTCAAAACAAGTAAAACTCTGAGTGATCAAATGTCGAAGTTATGAAAACTGGACCTTTTTTTTGCTAAGAGCTTTATTCGTTTTTGCCCCTGTTATCTTCTTATAGTTGTTCTTTGTAAATTGCAGAGCTTTCCAGGCTGCATCTTGTGGTATATTTCATTTTTTAATACAACGCATTTAACGATCACAAAATGATAAAATGAAATACAAAATATTTTCTCGATTAAGATCTAATAACGAGTTAGGTGTTAAAAAAATCGTTTTTATTAAATTTTTATTACTATGATATTAGACGAAGAGGTTTCAAATAGTATAGAAAAATAGAGCAAAAAATGCTCTATCTTTTTATAAAAAAAAAGAAAAAGTTCTCAGTCTTTCGATAAGCAAAAAAGTGCTGTTTGCAAAACTGTTTGACTACCCTTAGTATTTCAAATCATGAGACAATTGTTTTATTCATTCGAAAACATATGATTATTTATTAACATTTTAAAATGAATTTTATAACCTTTATTTTAAGTTTAGAAAGAAACAAATAAACTACGAATTTATTTAAAGATAATATATAAATCTATTCGCCTCGAAAGGCAAGTACAATTTTATTATCAACGATGCCTTGTTGAAGTTTAACAAACGCTTTGTGATCATCATGAGCCATGTATGTATCTCGATCTTGTTCATTGTCAAAGGTTAATAAGAAAGCATGAGTAAAACCTTGATTTAAATTTTCTTTTCCAATATGTGTTCCACTTTCAAATGCTCGTACTTGTGGTACTTTAGTTGTAGCTAATGCACGAAATTCACCTTCAATTTTAGCAATATCTGCTTGACTTGCTGTATTTTTAAATTTAAATAAAACAACATGACGAAGAAGTTGAGCACCGTTTGTTGCACGACGAAGCATTGTTATTTGTGTTAATGTTAGAAATGAAGAAAGATTAGAATCTTCATATATGTTTCTCTCTATTTAACCAAAAGATAAGAAGTTAAAAAAATGATAAACAAAAGAAAATAACATATAGCATATGTAATATGAGAAGGTGCACTACTTTTATCATTTACTCTCACTCATACGATTACGAATAAATGAATCGAATGATTATTTTTGTTTTATAGTGAGATATCGAATAAATTATCATTAAATAAATAAATAAATATAAAACGAAATATTTCTTGTCATAATTATCATATTTACCTCAGTCTTCTCAAACTTATCTGTATGCGTTCTTTTTTTTATTTTCATCAATGATAAAAATAAATAAAGTGGTTATATATACGAAGTATATGTTAACTAAAAATTTATTCTAGGAATGAAATATCTAGCATTTGTATCTATTCTTGTTCTTGTATTCTCATATCCAATATTCACAATTTGTCAACAAGGCAATGATGATATTGCTATGATTCGTCAACGTATATTAGAAATGATTATTTGGCCAACATCTGATAATATATCAAGTATAGTTACAGATGCGATTGCTTACAATAAAAAAATGAATAGTTCTTGTTATTGGGAAGATATTAATTATGAAGATAAAACTTTAGCTGTATGGACAACAGAAATACATTTAACACGTGTAAATATTATGATACAAGCATTAACAGTTCCTGGATCAAGTGTACAGAATGATTCACGATTAGCAACTGGTGCTCATTGTGCTCTCAATGTATGGTTAATACGTGATTTTTTAAATCCAAATTGGTGGTTTAATCAAATAGGAATTCCACTTTTATTAACTGGCCAATTATTAATGTTAGGTAATAATGCAACAAATTTTGAAACGAAAAAAATAACTGAAATATCGTTTCGTTCCGATTGGTGGGAACATGATCCTGGTACAGGTGCAAATCTTGTTTGGATGATACAAATTGAATTATATCGATCATTAGCAACAAATAATAGAACTGGTCTTGAACAAGGTTTTACACGTATGTGGAAAGATATTGTTGTTTTACCAGTAGGTGGACAAGGCATACAAAATGATTGGTCATATCATTTTCATGGTACACAATTATTACCAGCATCTTACGGACAAGATTGGGCTTTAGCTATCATTATATTTGTTTTATGTACTGAAAATACCCAATATGAATTAAATCAACAACAAATAATAATATTCGCGAAGTTTTTAATAGAAGGTGATGCTTGGATGATTCAGGATAATTTATGGGATTGGCAAGTTGAAGGTAGAGCGATTGATAGAGCAGGTACAAATTTTGCTACTTTAGAATTTGAATTGAAATCAAACTGGATTAGATCATTAGCACAATTAGTAGAATTAAATAATCTTAAGATAGATTTATTAAATTTTGCTGATCGTCTTGATATTAAACCTAATGCTATTCCATTGATTGGAAATAAACATTTCTATACATCTGATTATCAAGTACATCGTCGTATGAATTGGACAAGTACAATAAAAATGCAATCAATTCGAACTCAACCTACCGAATGTATTAATTATGAAAATCAAAAAGGTGAACATCTTGGTCAAGGTGTATTAAATATTTATACTACGAATGCTGCTGATTATCAAGAAATATTTCCTCTATTAGATTGGCAAGCAATTAACGGTATTACAGTTGAACATGATATTCCAATTGAATCTTGTATACGTGGAGAATTTAATTGGATAAAATTAAATTTTGTTGGTGGTGTTAGTGATGGTAGTTATGGTTTAGCAATAATGGATACAGCAACTCATAATCTTACTGCTAAACGATCCTGGCATTTTTATGATGATGCAATTATTGCATTAGCAAGTAATTTAACAATTACTACACAAAATACAGTATGGACAACACTTGTTAGTCGCTTATTATTAAAAGGTAATGTTACTATTGGTTTTTTTAATGGTCATATAATTTCTCTTATTGATGGAATTAATTATTCATTTCCTTATACTTCTAATCAATCGGAAAATGTTCAATGGATACACATTGGTGAAAGTAAAATTGTATATCTTCTACAAAAACAATATTTATATTCAGCAATAGGAGCAGAAGTGAGTACAAAGACAGCCTCTTACAATACAATTGGACCTTATAATGATACAATAACTAAACGTACAGTAACTGTATGGATAGATCATGGATTAGGACCATATACTCGTGATTATAATTATATGATTTTACCAAATGTTAATATTGAATCGATATCAAATTTAATTAAACGTTATGAAAATGAACAAATATTTTCATGTATTTCAAATAAGGATTATATTCATGGAACAGCATGGCCAATTCTTCAACGTGCATCATTTGTATTATGGAATAATATGACAAGTAATTTTTCATGTAAAAGTTCATTCTTTTCATTAAACGTACATTTGAAAGATGCTGGTGTTTATCTATTTAATGAAACTACAAGTCATTTTTCTATTACAATTTCTCATCCAAATCGTATAAATGATATTATTACAATAAATATTGATAGAATTGGATATGGACAAGAATGTATCCCATTATCCAATAACACAACTAATGTTAGTATTAAATTACCTTCATCAAAAGAATTATTAGGTTCATCTATAATAGTAACATGTACGAAGAAACAATTTGTTTATTGATATAAGAAAAAAAATGTCTTTGCATTAGTTTTTAGAGATAAATTATTTTGTTAATATTGTTTGTAATTTTAGTTGTTTTTGATATTCTATATCCATTTTTTTCATTTGTCTTCGATGTCCATATGGAATTCGATAAAGCCATATTATCATACATAAATGCATAAAAATAAATAAAATTAAAAATATTAAAAGTGAACATCGATCAACCCAAACATAAAAATTATCTGTATCAATTTTGACTTCATTTGTATAAATAAATACTATAGTACCAATAATTGCATGCCATATACATAATATAGTGAGAATAAATATTGATGCAATCGCATATTTATCTAATGTTGTTAAATAGGATATAGTTGGCTAAAAATATAAGAAAAAATATATATATTCTTCTTTTTCTTTTCTATAATATAAATAAACAAACTAAAGATCGATTAACAGTCCAACGAAAAGTGACAGATGTTAAAAGAAGAGTAACTGTTATTTGAAGACGACTTTGTGGAAGACTAAAAAAATTTAGTTTAAATTATTTATAAAAAAGAATTAATTTACTTTGGTGGAATAGAAAATGTACAAAAAGCACATATTGTTATTAGACATACAAGACAATAACCATTCCAATAAAAATATTCTGAACGTCGTGCTAATAAAAATTATTTATGATTTAAAATTTTTTCTTTTAAACTTTCATTTCATTTTACCTGCATGACATGAAATTGTTAGAAATGAACGTTTTCTTTCCTCAGTTAAATTAAATTCTGTTTCTTCTTCATCATGACCATCTCGAAAAAGAAATTCTTTAATATATCTTTGTTGTGTATCAACATGTTCATATAAAGACCATTCTTGTTGATCAATAAATGCTTCACGATTAACACCACTTGAATAATATGGATCAGCTATTAATATAACTTTATCATTATAAAACATGGATCCAATTGATATAGATAAATCTTGTACATCAGATGGAAAATGATGTAATTCAAGTTTCTCCCAAAACAAACCTTTAACATCACGATGTTCACAAATATAAACCTGAGAATCAATTTTTGATTTTTTTGCACTATATCTTATTTGTTCTTTTAAATCACCCAAAGCATTTTCAACATATAATTGTGGATGCCAATTTGTTTCAGCATATTTCATAAGTGAAATCGATTTTCCATGAAGTAAACGATTTAATTCATCCGATGATAAATTCGATGAAATTTTATCTAATTCAATTGACCAACGTGATTCAATAGCTATTTGGGCTTGATATTTTTCATTTAATGTATCAATTTCACCTATTCGTAAAAACACGAGACGTATATTAACTTGAATAGGATTTGTTTGACAATTATCTTCATCATCACAAGTTTTCATAAATATTACTTCTTTTCGACCTATATAATAATATGAGAATCTATTAAATAAACTTCATTTAATAATACCTGATGGAAAATAATTTTGTTTCACTTCTGTAAAAATCGTATTTGTCATTTGTTTAATGATTAGTATGAAAGAACTGCTTTAGTAATAGACACGCATTGATAATGGAAATAATATTGAACAGTTCTTATAATGTATCGAGTATTATATTGATGAATACACTAGAGAAAGAAAAAAAAGAAGAGAAATGCTTTCGGAAGAATAAAAATGTTTATCGCTTGAAATAATTTCAAATAATAAATATACTAATTTGGTTTCCTTCTGACATTGATGAACTCAGAAGAATGACAAATGTGATTTGCGTGACAATTTTTTCTAAAGTATGGAAATTCCATTAAATTATGTTAATTTACATGTCCGATATATTGTATGAAGGAAAAAAAATATACTACTAAATATTTTATTAGCTTGTCAACAGCCGGAAAATAAGCGTGTGATATTATCCTTTTATTTTTCGAAAATAATTAAAAAAGAATAACAAATTCTCTAATGAATAAAATATATTCAATAGGATGTCTCATTTCTTTTCGTACTGTAATTATTAATTCATCTTCTTTTGATATGTCAGTTTTTAGTCAAAATAAAGTCTTAATATAATGAATCGTAGAAATATCATATTATATCTTTAATCATTTTTAATTCGATAAAATTATCAGTAGCATTGTTATATGTAGAATTTATTGTTGAGTTTTTTTTTGATTCATTATCTGAATTACTTTAATGTAACGATAAAGAAATGTGGTAGACATTCTATATACAATCGTACGTTATATTGCATTCCTATCGTATTTTTTTAATAGTCAGACAATCCGCAGCTGATTATGATAATATTAATTATATATGTATATATACATCAATGTTAACCTTTTCAGCTGTGTAGTTTTTTTTGTCCAATGAAAATAACAATGGATTATATGATGTACTTTTAATCTAATCTATTTATCCCTTGTTTTTTTATCTAAGAATAGCGCATATCATAGCAAACAATAGCTGAAGTGCAAACTGACAACAGAATTATTCAGCTAATAATACGAACAGTCTAGTATAAAGTTTATCATGTTTTTATTTAACGTTACTATTTACTATGTTAGAGGAAAAGAAAGAATATATAATAAAAACACGTAGCGAAATATTTATCGGACGTGCGTCTTCATCATAAAAAAACGACTTTTTCAAATTCAAGAGCTCGTATATCAATTATCAAGAGTTTTATCATTAACGATCATTTGATAAAAAATAAAATTTATATATAAACTACTATTCTACAGATTTTATTGCATTGCAATGAAGAGTGAAAGTAAGTCGTATACTATTTCGATATATAATAATAAATTCTTATGAAGATTGAGAAATATTTCTTATAAAAACTCATGAAAGATTATTTCTATATTAAAAATATATTTTATCTCGAAGAAATGATTCAATTTTATATGAACATAAAAATAATTGATATACAGAGACATCTGATTTTTAAATCAAAGTTAAACATCTGTATAAAAGTAGATACAGAATTTAACTGGAAAATATCTATCCAATTCGACAGAATATATATATTTCTTTGCATAATAATAATAAGAAACAATCGAGCTAAGAAAATGATCTTTAAATAAGAATTGATCACGCGTTATCCATTATTATTATATGCTTATTATCTTTTTGCTTTTTGTCTATCATCATTAGTTATGCTTCTCCCTATGTTTGTATATATATATATATATATCCCTCGTAAAAGTCACAAACCTATCGAAAACAATTAATCTAATGATAGCAATAACTGATATTAGATCTCTACAAAGTAAGATAATTCTAGCTGTAGTTCAGTTAAAAAGAAAAACCATTAAACTATATAAAAGATCATGTTCATAAAAATAAATGTTTTATTTTTCTCTAGGATTTTTACTGTTATTTACTTTTTTGATATTATTGATCAAGAATCATGTTAATTGTGGTCGAGCTGATTGGACAATTGAAAAGGATGCTTCATTTTGGAGAGAACAAGCTAGAATATCAATTAATGAAGCATTGAATAGACGTGAGAATACAAAAATAGCTAAAAATGTGATTATGTTTTTGGGTGATGGAATGGGTGTATCAACTGTTACGGCCGGAAGAATTCGAAAAGGACAAGTTAATGGACAATTAGGAGAAGATCTTCTTACAGAAATGGAACAATTTAGTCATTTAGGTTTATCTAAAACGTAAATTTCTTTTTGTATTTATTTTGTTTTTTAAAATAATACTTTTAGATATAATATTGATCATCAAACACCTGATTCAGCAGCAACTGCAACTGCTTATTTATGTGGTGTTAAAGCACAATTAGGTACAATTGGTGTTGATGGACGAGCTAAACGAACGAATTGTACAAGTTCTCTTGGTGCAAATGTTACAAGTATCCTTGATTGGGCTCAACAACTCGGTAAAAATACTTTCATTATTTCTTATTTTCTTTTATATTTTCTTATTATTATTAAGGTAAAAAAGTTGGTATTGTTACAACAGCTCGTATTACTCATGCAACACCTGCGGCTGCTTATTCTCATGTACCTGAACGTAATTGGGAAGCTTATGATAACACAAATTTTGGTGCCACTCAAACTGAACAAGGTTGTACTGATATAGCACATCAACTTGTTTTACGTTCTCCACCTATTGATCTATTATTTGGTGGTGGTCGTCGATTTTTTTTCCCAAGATCAACACCTGATATTGAAAATTCAACATTGTTCAATTCTCGTACAGATAATAAATCACTTATTGATGAATATTGGAAAGGTCATTTTATTTGGAATAGAACTGAAATGAATAAAATTGAATTAGGTTCATCAAGACCTATATTTGGTTTATTTGAACGTGATCATTTGCAATATGAAACAGATCGATTAAGTAAAGGAAATGATGAACCAAGTTTAACAGAAATGACAAGATTTGCTATTGAACATTTGCTAAAAACGAATCAAGGTTTTTTTCTTCTTATTGAAGGTGGAAGAATAGATCATGGACATCATGAAACACGTGCACGATATGCATTAGATGAATATGTTCAATTTGATACTGCTATTGGAGAAGCGAAAAAATTATTGACAGAAAAAGGTGTTCTTGATGAAACACTTCTTGTTGTTACAGCTGATCATTCACATGTATTTTCCTTCGGAGCTTATGCTGCACGTGGTTCAAATATTTTAGGTTTTGGTTCATTAGAACAATTAAATGTTAGTGATGTTGATCAATTACCTATTAATATAATTACTTATGGAAATGGACCAAATTTTCCTTCACCAAGAAATGCAAGTTATCTGTCTACACTTGATACTAATTCAACATCATATTTATCGCCAGCAGCCTTACCAATGAGAGCTGAAACACATGGTGGTGAAGATGTGCCTGTATATGCTCATGGACCATGGAGTCATTTATTTATTGGTACTATGGAACAACATACAATTGCACATAAAATGGCCTATGCAGCATGTTGGGGAGATTATGTGAATAGAGCTGGATGCTCAGAAAATCCTGCAAGTTCAAGTACTACATCTCCAAATACAAGTACTACATCTTCAAATAATCATGCAAATTCGAGTAATCAATTTCAATTTATTCAAACTTTTATTCTACTATTTTTTTATTTTTATATTTTTACCGTTACAAAAAATTAATTGATTAAAAACTTTGTCTTTCCTATTTTATAAAACAATCGTTTCTTTTTTAATAATATTGTTTATGTAATCACTTTTTTATTTTTAATCGTATTCTAATAGATTCTCTTTTATTGAAATAACAAAATTGAATAGTATCGAATCAATACTCTAGTAAATAGGATAGTTGAAGATCCGTTCAGTTTTAGAATTTTCGATATATGAAAAAGAATTTGTTCCAGATAAATTGATTATTCTTTACATAGACTGAATTTTAAATACAATACTTAGTATAAGTATTTATACGAAGAAAAGAATGAACGAGGGAAGAAGTCAAGAAGCTTATCTTTCTTTGTTGTCACATAATTAACACAATGACATAAGTATCAAATAAAGACATAAACAAGAACATAAAACATCTGTATAGAGATAGATAAAGACATATATCAGCTGGATAAAAGAAGAAAAAGTGTCGAGGGATAGTATATAACAGATCAACAGCACCTTGATGATCTGTGTTTTTTTCCAATACATATATCTGTTCATTACTGCTCGTAATGATCATGATATACAAAAGCTAATTTTATTGATAATGATTCACAACATAGTTCAACTACACTCATCGTATTATGAGTTATAATGAATGTTGAAAAATAAAAAATAATTCACTATTTAATCTAATAAATTAAGTCATTCTTTTATTTTTAAAGAAAATAATTAATACATTCATTTGAAAAATAACATATTTATATATATATGAATATACAATAAGAGAAAAAAAGTTCTTCTAATTTTTTTATATGTACAATGAAAATATATTTTAACGTCGAATATTAATCAAACATTTCAAAACCAGATTGAAAGAGATTTTCCTGGAATATAATTAATAATAGGTTGATTATTTTCTAATAAATACCATTGAGATATAGAATTTTCAACATGTTCATCATCAATAATTTGAATAGCGTCAATTGAAATATAAATAATATTAGACAATTTATTTAATAAAATATCTTTAATAATTGTATGAAGTTGTAATTCATGTATTCCATCGTATATTGATGATAATGAAATTGATTTTAAATTAAGAAATTTTTCCGCAATATCAGTTTGAATAACACAATAATTTTCTAAAAATTCTAAGTCAAGTTGTTGAATTTGATTTAAAAAATTTGATTTGAGAAAATATTCTAATTGTCGATATGTAGTTGATAAACGTTTAATACGATGGAAACGCGTTATAAGTTCATTTTGAATATTTAATGATAAATCAAAATATGAGCACCAATATTGACTACGTATTATTAAATGGACTATTTTATTTGGATATTCAATATGATTTAAATGTTCAATAGATTCATTTAAATAAAGTCTATCGAATATATCAAATTTTGATGAACATATTTGAAAAGAATTATTCAAAGAATTATATTTAACTAAATATTTTGGAAATTCATATTTCCATTCTTCAATATCGAATAAATCAATAGATTTATTATTGGATAAGTAAAGATGAAATTGTTCTAATGAAATATATTTTTCAAGTAAGATTTTCCATGATTTAGCATTTATTGTTGTTGTTTGACCAATAAATGCAAATCGTTTAAGATTTTCATTTGATGGAATAAGAAATTGAATTAAATAAAATGGAATTTGACAAATTTCTAATTGAAATTCATTTAAATACGGTAAAATAGATAAATGATGATAATCTGTTTTATCAATTGAAAATATTGAAACACAAAGTTTGTGAATATGTATGGAAAATTGACAATTAAATAATTGGAAATATTCTGATAGTTTTGAAAATGTTATTCGAATATCAACAAGAATTGATGTTGATATAACATCGAATTGATTTGTTAAAAAACTAAAAAAGAAAACTTTTGTCGAAAAAGAAAAATAAATAAAATCTTAAATACTTTTTTGCAATATCTCCTGTTTGTAATTCAATTTGTAATTGTTTTACAGATGTTGATGAAAATTTCCAACGTTTTTTCTCTTGATTTAATGATGTAATCACTAGATTTAATATATTTGGTTTAAATATTTCGAATAAATCATCTTGTAAATCAATTCCATTATCAATAAGTTTGATTTTATATAAATTTTCTAATTGAATAAATTTAATTTTCTCAAGAAAATATTTTCCTATTTCATAATTATCAAATGTTAACGAATAAATATCATTGTTTATATAAGGAAAATAGTTTTTTGAATATTTATCTATCTGATTTTTTGTTAATATTGATGATAAATTAATATGATGAATATAATTTGATAGAAGAATATTAAATCGTATATTTAATTTTAAAAATGATTTAAGTAATTCAAATTTTGTTAAATAAGAAAATAATGATAAAATTAGTTCATTTGGTAAATCTTCTAAATAGATCATCTTCTATTATATTTGTGTATTCATATCAATTCTTTTCTTTCACTTTAGAATATATATATAGACGTATAAGAAGATAGTTGGCGTTACTAATAATGTTATTTTAATACAACGATAAATAGCGACACAAGTAAATGAACACGTTATAAAAAGGAAAGAATAAATTTTATCTTTAGAAAAGTAACACATACTAACTTGTTTAATATTGTAATGTTAACCTTTAAAAGCAGAGATTCTAGATTTTTAATATACATACATTATCGTTGGAAATATATCTTGATCTCTAGCTTATAGCGGTTTCTAATATGATTCAAAATAATCTAATCGATCTTATATTATTTATTGAGCGAGAAATAAAATACATCAGTAGATTGATTGAAAACTTATTGAAGTAATTTTATATTACAATAGCAGATAGAAATTTTTGAATGAAGAATTGTGCTTGAAAAACCATGCCCTGACGTTTAGTAACCTTTTGATCGTGATTTTCTTCATTCTATCAGCAATTTGATTATCTTTGTTCTATTAAATAGTAACTTTTGCATGTCAGATTCTATGGTTTCTTTGTATAAAGATTAATATGATGTCCCTTGGGACGAATATTTGACTTTAAAGGGTTAATAGTAATTATTTTCTTTTACAAGTCATCTTTATTTAATCTATACAGTTTATTTTTAATCATAGAAGCTTGTTAAAGATAAGTAAAGTACCTTTGTATCTTATACTGCTTCTCCAAGAACAAAATAGTATGCTAAACAAGGTTATTGAGTCTTTAATTACAAGTCAATCATGAGTAGAAACGATTCCATTTTGTATACGCGATAGTCAATCTGTTAAAAAGATATATAATATAGGTTCGAATCTCACTATGAGAGTGTATTCTTGATTGGTTATTGAATTCAAGATTGATATATGATTTTATCAATGATTTTCTTTATAACTTCGTTTCTATCCATTAGAACTATTGTATTAATATTAAAAAATACAGCACGAATTTATATATTGCATTGAATTTCAATTAAAATGATTTTCAAAGCTAATAACTTGTGCTAGATAAAAAGTGAAATTTCGCTATCGACATACGATGTCAAATGTCCTTGTCGTTAGTAAATTTCATACAAAAAAAAATACAACACGACGAATAAAGATTAATCTTAAAAATAATTCTTATTTATCATGAGGGACAAAATTCATGTAAAACTAGCCAATGATGTTCTATTTAGAATAATCGTTACTATCTTGTCTTTATAACCAGTTATCTTATCTATATTTATTCATTGTTATTATTTCTGTTGAGTTCAAAAAAAGACTTGATCGTAAAATGTTATTGCAAAATTCTTTGATATTTCATTTTTTAAAATCTATGTCACGTAGAAATCATACATTAATTAATCATAAAATTTATCCATTACATGATCGTCAATCAAATGCATATAATCAATTAGTATTAAATAGTCGAGAAGAATTTATTTCAACTGGTTGTTTATATCTTCCTAATTTTTTAACAACAGTAACTCTATCAACAATTCTTAATGAAATTAATTTTATATTAAATAATTCCAATGAAAATTTATTTCATTCTTATGTTCAACATACAGAAAATCTTTATAATACTTCAAAAGATTTTAATGAAATTGAATCAAGTAGTAAAACAATTATTGCTTTTGATCAAATTTCAAATGAATCTCTTCTTCGTAAAATTTATTCGTGGAATTCATTAATTGATTTTCTAACAGATACAATTCAAATTTATCCTCGTCTTTATTCAAGTTGTGATAAATTAGGTGCTTTATATGTCAATATATATCGTCAATCAAATAAACTTAGTTGGCATACTGATCATTCACATTTTTTTGTTAATCTTCTTTTACAACAAGCTTCAAATTCAGATGACGGAATTTTTCAATATAAAAAAGATAAAAAATTAATTAGTCGGAAAGATTTTCAAGCTGGTGGTCTTGTTCTTTTTAATGGTCGAACATATCCTCATCGTGTAACTGAAATTCATGCGTCAAAATTACCTCGAATTAATGCAATTCTTACTTATGATTGTCAACCGCAACATCAATTAAATAATTATGTTTTACAAAAATTTTTTGGACGTACAACGTAAAAAAAAAACAACAAAATTATACTTTTTACATATTTATACTCTTCATTCATTAAGAAGATGAAGAGAAAAAAAAAAATGATTTCATCGGAACAAACAAGAAAAATATGTGTTCAGTAAACAATTAAATTTGATTTGTATTTACTTCGTCAATGTCAGACGTTAATCGATATTCTTCTAATTCAATTGAATTTTTTTTCTAGAATATAAAACAAAATTTAAAATGTCTATTCTTTTTTGTTTTCAATCATATTTACAGATGTTTTGTTATTTGATGTATATAAATCTAAACGTGTTTGAACTTCATTATTAATTGTTTTATTTTGACATTGATCTTTATTTCCTAAATATTGTTTCCATCGATACCATATTTCTGTTGTTTGAAAACGTCGAGATAATGTTTCACGAACCTTAAAAAAATTTAATAAAGAATAATTTTATTCGAAAAAATCAAAGCTTTACTTCGGCATTAAGAAAACAATAAAGTAATGAACAAAAAAATCCTTGGAGTGTCATTAAGACAACATTCACCGAAGAATATATAGCAAAGATAGTAATTGGTTTGTCATCTTTCAAAAATAAACAAATATATATTTTTATTAGAAACAAAAAAATTACCCGCTGAGATAAATGTTTCAAAACCATGAGTAATACCCAATAAAGGTACGAGGAAAATAGCTGCTTTAACTGCTTTTCTAAAAAACAAAATTTTCATTGATAAATAAAATAAATTATAATTATATTCACCTGACGAATTTTGCATTCATTGAGCCACGACGTTTACTAAAATAAAATTTGAATAGAAAACAAAAGTTAAATTAGAAGTCATCAATATTAAGTTAGAAACAAAAAAAGCAAAATATATTTTAGTAAATTTTTTATTTCATGCTTAAATTACCGGTGTACAAAACATTTAACGCGTGACATTATTTTAGTAGAATGTAAAACAGATCTTCTACTTGAAATGTATATGTAAAAACTAAAATAAATTTTTTCTACTTACTCTTCTCGAATTTGTTTTTCTGAACCTTCTTTTATTTTAACCATTAAAACTCGAAGAATATTCAATAGGAAAATAATATTGATCTTTATAAAAAAAGAAATATTTACATGAAAGTTTTTTTTTGTAAAATTAAACTTACAATCATTACTGCATAACGAGGTCCATCGATAATCCAATAGTATTTTAAATGATTATAATTATTAAAACATCTAGACAAGAATTCAATATTTATATTACAATGTTTAAATTTAAATTTACCTTCGATCACGTTCTTTGATAAACATAACTAAACTCCAACTCAATGTTAAACAAAGTGGAACAACTATTAAACAAAAAGAAATAAAAAAATGAAATAAACAAAAATGAAAATTTACCCCAGCCAAGTATATGAAAATAATATGTTTTGAAACGTTTTTTAAAAACGCTAACTGTTAAAACAATGTTTAAATGAATTCCTTCGCAAAGCATCCACATAAACATAGCTGTTATACCAAATTGTAAAAATATAATAAATAATGGGCAAATTCCACTAAATACACTTGTTCGTGGATATGCATGAAGATTTCCATTTATATCACAATCATTTTTAGGGGAATCATTTACTTGGACCATTTGAATTCTAAATTAAAAAATTTTCTTAAATAAAAACAAAAACGAAGTTTTATTTTTAAATTAATACAAACCCATATGTTGTTAATCGAGCAATAATTTGTATAAGAATAGCTAATAAAAGATTTACATGAATTTTTGTACGACTGCAATACAATGATCTATTAACATTGGAAATAAAATATTTTTATAGAACAAAGAATGTTAACTAACTTAAATGTAAAAAATATAAACAATGATATGAGAATACTAGATAATGATATAGATAATCCAGCTAATTCCACAATACGAAGAATTCGAATCATTTTTTCGAAAACCTATTTTTATTTAAAAGAAAAAGAATTGATAAAATATAAATTATAATTAATAAGTTGTTACAAACTTCTCTTTCTTTTGGAGGTCTTCGAGAATAAGAGTTACCCAATAAAGCCAACACATCGGCATGAAAACATGGAGCTAAATTTAGTTCAGACCAGTTACCAGCTGGATAACAATATCGACTGAAAGATTCTAATAGGAAGAAAAAATGTTCATTAAAATTGTTTTTTTGTTTCAAAACTTACTTGATAGATCAACACCATTATGACGAATAACAGCACATGAAACATTTACTAATTGATTAGCTGTTGCTCGTGGCCAACAAAGATATTCAAATATAGCAGGACAAGATAAATTTTCATGAGTTAAGTTTGACATTGTTTAATAATATTAGTATATATCACCAATATATATATGGACGGGTTCTAGTCTGAATGAGAAAAAAATAAAATCATAATATTGTGGTTTTTTTTCTCACTTTATTAATCTTTAATAAATAACAAACAAAATTTCCCTAGATAACTTGCATTAATAAAAGATCCTTCTACAACAAATAAAATGAATACTTAATAAATAGATTTGACGTATATAGATATCCAATATATCAAACGCCAAAAGGACATGTAAAATTAATAAAATAATGACAGATGTTAATAAAATTTCTAATAGAAAATAGACATATTATTCTTATCATAGCGCAGATGTTAAATGAATATTTACACGACAAAAATTTTGATAAAATCTTTCGAGCATAATAAATATCATATTTTGTTTGACAGTATCATTCTCTTATAATTATTCTTTAACTCACCACATACTATCAATAGACATATATCGAACAAACCTTATAACAACAACTAGAAAATCATATAAGTGACATACCAACCTCATCATTGACATGTCTTCTGCGTATATATATAGAAAATACCTAACTAATATGTTAAATCAACATGTTTGATTAGCCAATCAAAAATACTCGCGTATTTATTTTACTCTAATTAGAACAAGACTAGCTCCTTCTTTTCTTTTTGTTCATTAGTATAATGCGATAATACTCATGTAACAATTATTTAATCGGATACTTGTAACCGAATAGAAGCTTCATACTCAAATTTCGTAGTACTCTTTCTCCGCCTTCATATGCTGATTTAAAATGATGAGTTCACTTGTATGATCACTATTTTATTAACCTATTGATTAAAACATAATAATATTCACTTACGTTCGAGAAGAATCTATGTTATTTATTTTTTTTTTTGTTTCGTATATATCAAATTTATACAAACACTAATGAATGGTAAATTGCAATATTTACCCCCGCTAGGACAGGAAAAAAAATACGTGATATGATTACTCAAACAGTGAATGAATAATTTTAACAGCATTTCATATACTCATACATCATTCACTGAATGATGATCGATCATCATCAATCAATATATAATGATAAACTATACTTGTGAAATAAAAAATAAAATTTATAGAAATTGTTTATTTTCTTTCTGTCTTTTTTATTCGATTCGGCCTAGTGAAAGATCATAATCATACACATGGCCATTTATTTCTTATATTTATAATGTCAATTACTTCATATATATGTGCTTACGAATCAGTTTGATAAATCGATACAATTTGTATATATGATGAAAGTAAAAAAAAAATATTTATCAAACCCATAAAAGTAATACTACTTACTAAACCGATATGTCATAGAATCTAAGTGTTAAATTCAATCCAAATGCGTATATATAAGATATATTTCTCAATGGAATTCTACAATATTTTTACTTCTGTCTACAGGACATAAATATAGTTAGAAAAACAAAACTCACTTGATTGCTTTCTTTCTAATTAAAAACCGTTCTTATCAATATTGAATGTAATGGAATGTAATTGTTAATCTTTAATTTCCATTCCATTATAGATCTTTTTCAATGTACTTGCTTATCTAAATATTCAGCATAGAATACAATGCTGTTTTTAATCAAAATTATTATATAAAAAAAAAGATAAAAGAAATGGAAAGAGAAAATGGCTTAGTGTAGGCGACCTTATAAGATAGTGATCATGAACTGCACGCACATTTCAATGTGCTTTAATAATCTGTGGAATCGAATAGAGACAACACAAAAAGAAGAAAAAAAAGAAAAATCATATATCGAATTTGTCTGACCTATGCAAATATTTTGTTTTTGTTGTTCGTCTTTCCTTTCCTACGTTTGCGTATACCAACTTGAATCGAAAAATACTTTTTCAAGTACTACATTTTCTTTCAAGCAAATATACATACTACTTAAAAGTGATTATGATAATATATGATGGGATATATTGCACGTGATAAAAATACAAACACTTAACAAAACAAAAAAAAATAAAACTTCTGTTTTTATGTGTGTGACAAGAAGAAAAACATTACTATGCGTTTTGTTATTTTGTTTTCTTTTTTACTCCATTCAATTCTATGAACATAATGAATAATAGATTTAATACACCTGAAAAATTCAATCTAACTGATTCATTTCCACATAAATAACACATTTGTATGGGTTGTCAAAAATATTTTCATTTACTTCATATTATTTTCTAAACTAATAATCTTTAGTAATATTATTTTCATCAAGGATTTTTTTCTATGTTATTTTATTTCTCCATGAGAACGCGAAGATGAAAATAGGATTAAATAATTAACTAATATTTTCATACGATAATAACTTTATATGTCACAATAACATGCGAAAAATTATTTTGAATGAAAGATGTAATAAACATCTATACAAATATTGTTTATTTGTCAACTACAATCAATCATGGTCGAACAAATTTTAATAAAGAAAAAAAATCTCGTTTGTCTAGATATTCTTTGAAGCAGATAACGACATTTTTAGATAAGTATTTAACTGAAGGAAAAGATTTATACTTTCTATATATAAATATCAAGTCTGAAAAACTATCGAATTCTTATTAAAAAATGAGAAGAAAACTGATATTTTTCATCATTGAAACTATTTATATGACAACAACTCGTTTTTAATGGAAGTAATGGAAATATTATACGAAGTATTTTTCTTATTTATATACAAATAATATAATTACTCAAAATTTTAACATACGACATATTTTTTTGTTCAAAAACCTATTCATTTTCTCGAAATAGATACTAAACAAATATTCATAACAGAGTGCGTGTGTCCCTCCATCTGTTGATGTAATTCTATTCTGTCTTAATGTAAAACAAATAATCTAGAAAAATAAAAATGATGATATAACTATTTAGCGGAATATTAGAATAATTTAATTGAATAGATTTATTTCTTACTTAATTTGAATTCTTTGATCGATAGAGTTCATTGATATGTAGACAAGGATAATTATAAACGCTGGGAGAAATATATCTCGTTTCATCCTGTTTGACAGAAACTAGCGCATGTGCAATCAATTTATTTCTGTGTCTTTCTTATCCTTGTCATCTACTAGATTTAGATGGTACAAAACGATAATGAGAAGGAAGGAAGAGAATAGCACTGTGTAGAATAGATTTAGTGCAATACAAATGATCACTATCATTTGTTGATGTTTTGAAGATATAAACATTTAACGTATATATATAGATGTTATTCTCCATATGGAATCAACGAATATCATCTATCAGATAAATATAAAACAATAGAATTCAAGAATTAGCTAGGCAGATTAATATACAAAGCTTTTTTGATCGATAATTTAACGAAATGAATTATAAACAATTAAATTATATTTCTATTTATACAAAAGAGAAAATAAAAACTGCTCCTATATGTACAATACCTTCTATCGATACCATCATCATATAATTAACAGATTACAATGATTACTATCATGTTTATAAGATAAAGTAAAACATTAATCGAAAATGCCTGTAAATGCGGAGATACTATTGTTAATTATGAAGATATGACTCAATCGTGGACACGGTTTACGCACATACATTTATTATATTCTTATGATATCTGTCTAATAATGCAAAAAAATCATCTCCACCTTTTTTTGTTTTATACTGTTTCTTTCGACAGAAATATTAAACTAGTCGACAAAACAACAAGAGAGAAAAAAAAAGAAAAGAATGAATAAAGAATGTCGATGAAAAAACAAGAAGAATGAAACAAAGACAAATGAATAACGTTTATCTATATTTATTAGTTACAAAATATTCCCAACAAAAACGAAACAACGCATATAAAAAAAAGCACATGTATACAGAAAATCATGCAAATTTTATTCAATTACTAATTAATATTTCATATCTATTTCGAAATGATAACTGAATATTTCTACTTACTCCTACAGAAAAAAAAGAGAGCAATAAACTCTTTTCTTTATTTTATAAATTCATCTTAAGCAGCTTATAAATCATGTATATACAAAAGAAGAAATATCATTGACGCTACATTTGATACGCATTGAAAAAAAACGCACACATATTCAATGAGTACTCTATTTGCGTAATAAAAATACACATTTGCATTAATTTCAATAGAAATATTTTCATCATTATGCTTAATGGTTTGTATTATATGATGAATATTTATTTTTAAATATTAAAAAAAATTTTATAATTGAAATAAATCAAGAAGAAATAATTTTGCTTATTTTTATATTTGCATTTATTGATGGACTACTTATCTATTTAAATTAACGAAGGAAATAGCAGACTTTCTATTTTGAGAGTACTTTAATAATTTTCCAGCTACTTTGATGTACTCCAGCTTCTGTTTTTCCTCTTGATTTAAATAAAGAAAAATAACTAGACACGTGCATGTGATTCTCTTATCAACAAGATTAATGGACATCCATATTATTCTTGAGAGTTAGCCTTAGGAACAATTGCTTAAAGTAGATAACAAAAAGCGTCAAAAATTATTCTATGACAATATAGTCAATAAAAGATAATTAATCTTCATTAATATCGATGTTAGATTTATTTCAAAAAAAAAAAAAGAACTCATTAACTATTTATCTATTTGTTATAGTGTTATCTACATAAATCATGAAAGATTTTTTTTATTTCAATAGTCATTTTTTAAGTACATAATAAATCGATTAGATAAAAATATTTTCTCGATACAAAATAAAATGTTCACAGACATATTCAAGTGTATCTAACAAACATGTAATACTAATAAGCTAATAACAGCGGTAGTACTTCCTGTTTTTGTTGTGTGTATATACATACTAGCAGAACAAGTCAAAAGAAAGGATATAGCACGTAAAAACAATCGAGATTTTTTTCTACGTTGATGGGAATAAATTCAACTGTCGTCATTCGAAAGACAAAAACAACAACAACAACGACTACTACTACTGTAAACGAGACACATCATGTACATTAAACATTAATGTCAAAATACATACCATATATATTAATAAAATTGATGGGACAAGTAGAAACTTTATCGTTTACTTGTTGAATTAAAATATTTATTTTTTTTTCATACAAAAAAAACTTACATAAGGATTTTTATTTATTTCAAGTAAGTTAACGAATAATCTAGATAATAATATGACTCGTGAGATCTATAAAAAGAAATTCTATTTATCTAATCTGATGATGAGCTATTGTATTTCTACGTGGAAAATTTGATTTAGTATATATCTATGAGAAATTGCTAGTAATTAGGATTATCTTGTCATATAATTATAGATAAGAAAAATACATATTTTGTTATATAACAATAGATCTAAATTTAATTATTTCTTCAAACTAAAAATATTTCATGTTTTATCTATGAAAATATCATATATATATATTATCTAATCTAGTTTTTGAATCAATAAATTATCGAAATTTTACTTAATAGAAAACAGAATAGAGCTATTATTATAGTTTATATAGATATATTTTGAAGATAATAGGATCGATTGTCAAGAGATTTCAATAGAAATAAGATCAAAATCTAATATTTTTGTTGGTATACTTTAAACACTTGAATCGATATCTTCAGTTGTTTTTAATTTATCAAAAGAATAAGTATCGAGAATTGGTTGTGAGCATTGAGAAAATGAAGATATTATTGATGTTGCATTATTTGTATGATTATAACGAAATGAATTTTGATTGGTAATTGTATATAAATCATTAGTAAGTTCAAGATCACGTGGTAATTTTCTTTTACGTGATGTAAAAGAATATTTTCGTTGTCGATTATGAATCGATGACAATGAATTATGATCATCATTCGTATTTAAACGAAGTTCAGTTAATGGAATATCCTTCATAAATGACAAAAAAATGAATACCAATCTATTATTATTATTATTTCTTACTGGATTTGGTGTTTCTTGTAAACGAAGTACAGTTCCAATAGGAATCGCCGTACGCATATGTAAATATTCAAAGTTAAGAAATGGATTAGTTAAGATTGGTATTGTTTGTTCTGTTGATCTTATTGCTAATCCTGAAGTGTACGATATCGAACGTGATGTCAAAGGTGTTTGATCTTGATTATGTGATATATCCTGTGGAAGAGATGATCGATGAACATTAGAAAAAATCATATCTAACGAAATTATTGTTAAATAAATATTCAATTAGAAAAATGATTATCTACGATCTCCATTGTATTTTTGTTGTTCATTTTCATTTTGTGATTGTTGAATCATTTCTTTTGTTGGTTGTATGTTAAGATATCGATCGATACTTGTTCGACCACGTAATGTAATTGTATCAAATTGATGAAATATATCCGTTAAAGTTATTTGTTCGTGACCTGATGACATTTCTAAATTATTTTGATCAATAATATATAAATATTCATATGCTGTTTTCATTTCGAATGTTGTAAAACCGACAAATATCGGAAGTTTTCTTTGTTGAATACCATGTTCAATTAATTTTATACATCGATGTAACTATTAAATAGGAATTTGAAAATAAAATTTCGAAAAATGAATCTATGCATACTTTATTAAGTGTATCACATTTAAGAATTTGACAAATTTGTTTCATATTACCTTCATATTTCATATAAAGAAAATAGAGAATATTTATTTCAGCAATATCTTTTTCTGTATCAAACATTTGTAAAAATTCGAAAGTCTGAGTTAAACGACGACCTCGATCAATATCTAAACTAATGTTGAATAAAAAATAATGAAATGAGAAAAAAATCTTACAAGATGGAAATGCAAGAATTTTAATTGGTTCAAGATGTTTCAGTTGAGAATCATTCGAAAGTTGTTCAAGAAGATATTTAGCAAAATGTATTGAATTCTTATTTATTGTATGATAATCACAACCAATATAAAATGATTTAAGATCATGAAGAATTTTATCAATTTCTTTTTCACTAAACCATGTCCATCCAATTTCAATTGAATTACGTAAATGATATAAATGAAAACGTGAATCATGTTTTGATGTTTTATAAAGACCAGTAAATCGGTATGGATGTCCCATATATCTTATAAAAATAAAAAAAATTATGATTATAATCTATATTTTATTTTACCCATATTCAGCTGAATGTGTTTGTACAGCACAATGATAAAACAATAAACCTAATGAATGTACACATGTATTTATACATCCACCTAAATCATATAAATTTAGATATACAGGTGCAACATGTGCACCTGTATGTAGACTTGATGCCGATGATATTATTGTATTGATTGGAACATTTGTTTGTTTATCAAGTTGTGTATTATTTATAGAAAGTGACATATTTATTGAGGATTATGAAAATAAATAATAAAATGTAGATCGAATATAATGGACATTTGCGATGATTTAAATAATCTTCGCATATTTTATTGTTATTATAATTTTTGATTAGGATAAGAAAAGAAGTTTCTTTTTTGAGCGCGTGTTTTTTCGTTTTAATTTTAAAAATTGAAGATTTCGATGTCTGAATTTTCGACTAAGGTAACTCACGAAAGGACACAAGATGTGAGCAACCTCCACTGAAAAGTCTTCCAATATCGAAGAATGTTCTCTTATAAGGATATTATTAAACAAATAACGCTCCTCCGAGGATTCGCTTAGCTCTTTCTCGTAAAAATGCATTTTCTGCACATTTACCGAAAAACAAACGGAAACCGTGAAAAATCAGTTTTCGCCGTTTTTTTATCTTTGACCACTCTTCACCCCCGTCCCTCCACACGGTCACCCAATAGTCCTCAGATTCGAACTCCCCGTATCGAAAAACGTATAAAAATATCTTTTTCGGAAAATCGGTTTTCAATGTTTTTTTGACCTTTCACGCATCCACTCATTGTGGTCACCCAATAGACCTCAAATTCGAACTCCCCGCATCAAACAACCTCTAGAAATGAGTTTTTCAAAAATTTGATTTTCGATGTTTTTTTGACCTTGCGGACACACAAGCAATCAGACAATTTATGTTTATTGGATTCTTCTCTACGAGAAAGAGAACATGACTTTTAAATACTGTTTGTGAAAAACCTTGAATCTTCATTTGTATTTACATTTTTCGACAGAAGTGTAAATTTTGTCGTTTAATCTTTGCAAATAAATATTTTTTCTGTGCCATTTATATAAGATTTAGTTGATTAATAACAGACAAATTTTAATATTCTTTTGTAAAGAATATGTAAACATGTCATTCTCTTTCTTTTTTAATGTTGTTCAAGATAAATAGAAAAGATAAATCATAAGACATTTACATAAGAAACAAAAAGGAAAATAATCATAACATATAGAGATATTTAATTTGAACAAAAACTAGAGTTATCAATTATAAAGTTCAAATAAACATGAACTAAGTATATGTGATGCTTCGGATGATTCAAGAGTTAAATTTGCAAGAAGTTGTTCGTATTGACGTAGATTTCTAAACGAAAAAAATTCTTAGAAATGTTTTGCTCATTTTATTTATTAAATAAACATACTGTTTTCCAATTGATGAATGTCGAGCAATATTACGTAAAATAAGTGCAGCTGTAAGTCGAATACTTTTTGTCAATGGACCTTCTTTACTTTTATTCTATTATTTCAAATAAAATAATTAATTAAAACACCCACACATATATATGAATGAAACTTACTATAGGATCATCGAATGAATTAATTTGCATATGACGTCGAATTGCAAGCCAAGCAGCATCTGATGCATAACCAACTGCTCCTCCTGATGTCAATGGACGATTACCATTAATAGAAATATTTGGTGGTATTGGAGTTGGATTTGTTGGGATGGAAGATACTGGATTTGTTAATCTATGTTTTGCTTGTCGAAATGCAATTTCTGAACAATGACGTTCCTATTTGAGAAAATATTTAAAAAAAACATGGTTTTATCATCTATATAAATATACTTGAATATGACTAATCAAAGCCCATTTTTGTCGTTTTATTCGATCACATCCATTCCATAAACAGATATAATCAGTGGAATATTTAATATGTACAGAGCATACATGATGAAAAACTGCCCGTGCTGTTGGAAAATACCTAAGTAAATTAAACAGAAAAAGTAAATACAATAAGTTTCATCAAGTCTCTTCTTACATTCGACAATTATCCCATTCACAAATATAATCAGATGTAGTTGTTATCATAATATTTGATGTTGACATTATTGGTTTCATATCAGACGATTCTTGTTCCATAACTGTATCCTTCTTTTCTGATGTAATAATTATATTTGCAGTATTATTATTATTTATTATTGGTTGTTTTCTTGGAAGTAAATCAAGTTTTTTCTTTTGTAATTGTTCATCAATATGATTAACTTCTTTTGTTGGTTGAATTTGTATTTTACGATTAAATACTGGTGATGGTAATTGATTAAAAATTCCTGATAATGATTGATCAACAATGATCGAAACACGTTGACATAAATCATTTAAACATAAACGAATATCATTATCAAATGATGATGAACAACGATCAAGTATATCAGTTAAAGTAGATTGAATTGTATTATTTATTTCTGTACTATTTTCATCTTTATTTGTTGATGATGATGAAGAAATAGTTATAGTAGATTTTGGTGGTATTGGATATGGACGAGAACGTTTTAATGCATCATTAATAACCGTTGGAATTGCATCAGAAATAGCTAAAAAAGAAAAATATTTAATTATTTTCTAATATGAAAAGAAAGAAAAAAATTTACAATCATGTTTTCGTTTTTTATCATTATTATTTGGAAGAATATTTGGTGATGATGATGTTGTTGTAACAGTTAAAATACTTCCTTGTGGAATAGCATCAGTTATTGTTAAAGGTTTTGAATGTTGTTGAATAATATATCTTGGATTCATTTTATTGATTTCAGAATTTTCAATTGTATATGTTGAATGATGTTGTTGATGTTGTTGTAGTTGTGTAGATTGATTTGCAGGTATAATAACAACTGATTGTGGTTGTTTAGGTGGTTGATGATAGGATGGAAGAAGTACTGGACCTGATGACATTTCAACAATTTTTATACTTTTTATTGTTTGAGAAGAAAAACTTCGAGCTTCAATTGTTAATAAATCTATTAATGTTGCTATAATTGATGATGAAGATTGCACTTTAAGTATTGCCTCACATGATTGTACTCCTATTTTAAAAAAGTAATGTTTCTATCGATCAAAATAAATCTTAACATACCTAATTCCGATAATTGATATAAACATTCTAAAGTATGTACTAAAATAAGTATATCAGGTATATGTATAAGACTTTTAATAATCATATCAATATAATCCATTAAATAAATTTCATTATCATGACCAGCTTGTGCTAAATTAGAAATTATTTCTAATGCTCGAATTATTTTAAATCTATCATATTGTTGATTATTATCATCATCACCATTTAACATTGAATTTAATAATTGTCGAAATAATAAACCTTCATCATTACTTATCATACGTAAATGCATATATAATGCTAAATTTGTCCATATATCATATGCATACTTTTGTAATTCAATATGATTTTCACAATATGATACTAATAATAAAAATCTATAGGTTAATGATAATGTTGTTTGTAATGTTTCAAGTAGAAAATGTGCATTTAAACGATCAAATGATAAATTACGTATTATCATTAAAATTTGTTCAATACGAAATTCTTGTTCTTGTTGATATTTATTTAAATTTGAATTAAAATTTTTATATAAGTTTGTTTTCGTATCATTATCATTATCGTCAATATTTAATAATAATTTAACAATTGAAGATGAACAAGATTCAAGCCAAAATGAATCCATACGATAATTTAAATGTTTTGACCAGATATTATCGTATAAGGTTTTTAAATAATGATCATTTAATAATGTATCTGTGGATAAAAATAAACCTACATGTCGATAAAGTAAATCTAATAAACGTGGACATTTATATAAATGAAATGATTTTGTATGATTTGATGATGATGATAAGAGTAATAAAGTATTTAATGTAAATGTTAATTCATTTGGAAAACCACATATTAAAGCTAATTCTAATTTTTCATATTCATTTCGATGTACAAAATCATTAAAGAGACCATGTTGTATACGTAATGTTTCTAAAATATAGAATTCCACAATCAAATATATTTAATCTTATATGAACTTCTAGGAGTAACCTATAGGTCTTGTCTCGATTAGGAAATTTAGTTATTGTTGTATTAAAATAATGAAAAATATAAACCCAATATTCTAATCTCGTGTCATCTTGGGAAAGAAAATAATATTCAATAAATTAAGCATCATACAAACAACAGTAAGTGTAAGTTGAATAATTCAACAAAGACTATACGTAATGGACTAACAGAATAATATTTTAGTTCTATGTTTAGGATTAAAGTATTTTCTCTTTTTTTTTACCAGAAACAGTATGTTGTGCATAATTATATGATTGTGGTACACGTGTTAAGTAAGAAATTGTACGTCGTTTTGAATCGTCATTATCATTATCATGCGAATCAATATTTTCTCCATGACTTATTTTTTCAAAAGCATACAAATATCTATTTTAAATAAACATGTTTAATTGATTTAAAAAAATTATTTTTTTTTATGTTATTTTACCGTATATAAATATTTTTTAAAGCTTGTGTACCATTCAAACATGTTTCATCCATAGAAAAATTAGTTGCAATTGTTGGCCATAATTGTCGATCATTGACTTTATCCCAACCACCATGGCTAACCACTAAGTTATATAATACGTATAAGTCAACGACTTGTCCACCTATGGTTGGTAAACAACGAAATGGTGTGCTAAAATAAAATATCATATTTTTTTAGTATTCAGAAGTCAATAATACTTACTGTCGACCTCGTTGAAAATCACGAAGACGTTTAAGAAATTCATCCGAAGGAGACAATGGTGTTGAATAAACAGTGGAATTTTGTATTGGTAAATTATTAGGATTTAAATTTGTATGTGTTTGATAGGCATTATTGTTAGTTACTGTTGGAGATTGTACAAGATAAAGAGGTGATGGTGAATATTGAATGTTATTTGTTGTTAATGGTGCTGATGGTTTACTTACAATTGGACGAGGTTGAATTGGTGGAAAAGTGGTCATTATTTGTGTAAGTTTATCTTATTTAAGAAAGAGTCATACAAGATAAATAGAATCTTCATGTATTCATTTTATTATATATTATTTTAACATGAAAATGTAGATTTTGAAGAACACATATAGCAAAATTTCCAGTTTAGATATAATGAATTTTCATTTTTTTTTGAAACAAAAAATTTTATTTCAATAGAAGACTAATCGGATTTGTTAGATAGATTAACAATAAATGATACAAATAATAGATGGCACTAGTTGATGGAAAAATTTCACATGCAATTTCAAGGTTAATTATATACTGTCACTTCAATTTTAACTTCACTCAAATTAACATTGAAGGACATTATTTCAACAACAAAAAATATAATATCTATTTTTTTTTGTAATTAATAAGGAATTTTGGAAAAATCATATAATATCAATATTTACTAACTATTAAATATATATATTTAAATACTGGTTTTACTAACTACACACACACACACACGCACAATAATGTTTACGAAAGTAGAATGTTTATGCATTTTCATTTTTTATTGTTGTTCGAATGAGTTTGGTGATTTGAACCTTGATTTGATTAAGTCTTTCCACTTTTTACGGGTTCAGTTGCAGTGCCAAGTGTACCACCTGGTGATTCAACATTGCTACCAGTTGAAGGACCTTTTTGTTGATCTATGTTATTACTTGGTTGACCACCTGGTTGACTGGTTGATACAGATTCGACATTGCTACCAGTTGAAGGACCTTTTTGTTTATCAATATCATCACTTGGTTGTCCACTCAATCCAGAATCAGTAGTACCTGCAGTTGCCGACATTTTTTACTATAAGTGTAAAGTGATGAATAAAAGGTTTATTTTAATGATACGAAAAAAAGCTTACTCTCTTTATATATACCGAGAGTCTTTATAAATGAAAGAAGTATTGAATGCAAATAAAATCTTGGAGAAAAAAAAAGAAAGAACAAATGATTATACTCGTTGCACCCCTTAAAAGAGAAGACGGGAAACCTTAGCAACATATTCTGTTCTTTTCATCTATGTTAATATGAAACATTTTCTTCTCATACTTCTCTGTCTGAGATTGAATATATTCTCCGATATACAAGTATTTCTCGAGGATGTTGACTATATTCTCCTATTCTATTGAATACAAAAGGAACAAAGTTCATTTTCATCATAGATACATAAATAATAAAAACAAACAATTGTGTATTGATTTTTTTAATTTTATACTTGCAAATGCAGTGTGAATGTTGTATTTATATTTCAATAAATATTACGAAATACATAGATATCAGTTTTTTTATCTGCATTATAGTTTCAATGCCTATTTAATGGATATGATGTGTACATTAATCAATGTATGTCTCTTTTAAACTTCAAGTACACGTCGATTGCTTTCATTTAAGACTTGAAGTTCAAATGCTTCGTTCTATAAATAGAAAATTTTAAATATGATGTTTATTTAAATTTTTTCTTTGCAATTACATTATGTAAACAATTATATTTATTAAAAAATTACTAATTTGTCCCGTAGCCATATTTCAAAATCTAGTTATTTTTAGTTGTAATATAGAGAAAATGTACTATTCTGTAGCAAGATGATTTTTTTTGATAATAACATTGATGATGATTGCATATCAATTGAATTTATAGTTTCTGTTTTCATTCAGTTTGAAAAAAACGCTATAAATAAATAAATGAATATATAAATATTCGTAGTCATATAATAGAAGAGAAAATTTTTAAATTCTTTATAATTCCAGGGTCTGTTTTTCTAAAATGAGTCATCTTTGTCCGTTCTGCCGCGTATTCAAACATAACTATGAAATTTATCCTTCTAAACACCTTGATTTTAAATATTCTTTTAGATACACGAATATTCCAAGGACGATAGTTCCTGAAGCAGGATTCCATGAATTTCCGGCAAAATCTCTGAGGAAACTCGCCATTTCTAGACGAAGCCCACCCGGAAAATGCCAGGAATTCGATCGAGAAGTGACTTAACTGTATTCGGCTGCCGGTTTTGATATGTTCCTGTCGGTTTCGGCCCAAACCAGATAAATCCGGCCGAATTGTTCGACCTGGGGTGAAGGTGCACTAGGACTTTGTCAAAAATGTAGTGTTATCGACAAAGAAAAAAACTATACGACAACTTTATCAGTAAAACGTAAGAACAAAAAGAAGAAAAACAGGTTCATCAAATTTTTGTTCTAGAGGGAAGGATGGTATAATTACCTAAAGAACATGATTGTGTATTATGCGAAAAGAAAATAAGAGAAAATAATTATGATATTTATGACCAAAACAAAAATGTAAGATTATAATTTTTTTTTGTCTACATTCGATAAATTTAGGTATACCATGCGCATTGTGTTGGAATGGACGATGCTATTGAAGAAGTCATCATTGATGAAAATAATCTCTTCTCTTCTTACATACTAAATATGTATTTCTTAATATATTATGTAAACTTCCAAAGATTTTACATTGAACAAAAGGTAAAAATTCTGCAAAAAAAACAACGGAAGCATAAGAATTATTAAAAAACATTGATAAAAATCATTTTTTATTCTTATTGAACATTTTTTTCTTCGGAAAACATAGGCATGCCTAAACCTAAGCTAAACGATATGTTTCCATATAGCTATTGTTTTGTGTCATGCTGTTCATAGATGCAGCTAAATGAGTGATTATATGATTTGAAACTGAAAAATGGTAACATCATAACTGATGCTCTCCATTATAAAACAAAAGAATATTTCAACTTCATACATTAAAAAATAGTATAATGTCATTGTAGCTAATGTAAAACACTATGAAAAAGCATTTCATCATCTCATGATAATTGGACTATTCATAAATCATGCAATATATAACATTATAGTTGATACTCTTAATAAAAAATTGTTCATAAATTTCTTCATGTTATGTTTCTTGAATAAAGAGTAAAGCTCAAGAAATGCCAGAGAACAACGAATATCTATGAAACTTTCAAAATTTATTAGAGAAAAAAAGCATTAAACATTATTTTGTATGATAGAGTTGAATGTCTTGAAGAATAGATCTAATACTCAACTATTAAAGAAAGATGAATTTATAATAAATTCTAAAAAAAATAATTTTACAATATATTCAATTCGTCCAATTGAATGTTTTTGACATGAGTCAAAGCACTATGCATCTGATTTATACGGTACTATGCCACGCGTATATTCATTGCTTTTTTCCGTTCTCTCTAGCAAAGCATAGTTAATTTTTCACTATTTGTCGTTGTATGACTCGATAAAACAGAAACAAGTGTTTCATAACGTGATGCAATTCCAGCACATTGCCTTATATTTATAATAAGTCCTCTTTTTCACATCAAAATACTCACTCTTGCAAAGTTAAACTTATCATCTATTCAAAATCGATATTCTACAGTTTTAAACAAACATACTATAATATTATTTATCATACATAAATTGAAGATAAATGTCATCATTTGTATGTAATATTCCGTCCGATGTATCTGCTCCTCCACGATTTATCGTTAATCTAGATTTATCTCCAGCATTAAGATGGCAACATATTCTACGTTTATATATTGATCAATTTCGTGAAGTTGAAAAAAAAATCGATTCTATGATCACAGATATCATTGGTCAATTCGCAGGTCCTATGCTTGAAAAAATTCTATCAACAATAATGTCTGGTATAACACGATTAGGTTTAGTTTATTATGGACAAGAATTGAAAGGATTTTCTGAAATTACTGGAATACCATTAGGAAAATTAGTATTAATACAATTTGTTTATGAATGTTTTGCATGTTGTACATCAATTGTTTGCAAAGATGAACAAAATAATATTCCAGTACATATTAGAACAATGGATTGGGAATTAGATTTTTTAAAACCATTAACTATTGGTATGTTAATATCTTTTGAATGATATAGAATTTCTTATTTGAAATATTATTTGTTTTTATTTTGAAATTTAGATGTTGATTTTCAAAAAAACGGTCAAACTATTTTTAAAGCAACGACATGGGTTGGATATGTTGGAATTTTAACAGGAATGAGAACTCAAGATGGTTATTCTGTATCAGTTAATTTTCGACATACAGGTGGATCATTGACAACAAATCTTAAAACAGCTTTAACAGCGTAATTTAAAATATTTTATTGAAAACTGTTATTAAATATCTCTTCATATAATTCGCTTCTAGTGGTTGGCCGATTGGTTTTCTTGTTCGGGAAGTATTAGAATCAACACACACGTATGATATAGCTGTTGAACAACTTGCACAATCATCAATAATTGCACCATGTTATTTTACTATATGTGGAACAAGTCAATGTCGAACTTTTGGAACTTTATTAACTCGAAAACAAGCATCAGAAGAAAAAAGGTCTATTAAAATAATTATTAACAAAAAATATAACTTTTATTATTTAAAAGATGGACAGTATCTGACCATGGTTCTATTGTACAAACTAATATTGATCATTGGAGTTCAGATAATAATGAAGATATTTTATATTCAATAAAACGTCGAAGTTTATCAAGAAATGTATTAGATGAAATGAAACCAATTAATGAATATGAATTATGGAAGGTAAATAGACATGAACTATATTAATGTATTTAAATATTCTAATCTATTTTCTAGCTAATATCAAAATATCCAATATGTAATAATATAACAATTTATGGAACATTTATGTGTCCAGAATATAATATATATCATACACGATATCCTCAAGAAAATGGTCAATTTATTTCAAAAGAAAAACCTCAATTTATACCAATGGCAGATATCAAAGTAAATCATTTATGATTTGATACAACTTCAATTTTATCTTATCTTTACTTAGGATAATGTATCTTCGTTATTATCATCCATTCATATTTGTCATAAATGTGAACGTGAATTTAATATTGATGATAATGTTGATGGTAATTGTAAACATATTGGAACATGGCATTCTAAATATAATGATTGTTCTTATTTAAAATGTGGTTTCAATTTGGGTAAAACAGCATCCATTGGTCAACAACATTGGTCATGTTGTTATTCGTTAGATCATGAATCGGATACTTGTAGTAAAAGTGGTCCTCATACATTCATTAAACATTAACAAAACAATTATAGTATATATTTTTCTTATTTAATTTAATATTTTAATAAACTTGAAAATATTATTGAAAAACAAATTTACAAATTAACAAACAAAGACAATGATAAAATCATCATCTATTTCATGAAAGAATAAAATTTAAAAAAAACAAGATATTTAGTACATCATATGATATAGTGGTCTATCTAACTTTCTCAAATATCACACTTTTCAGAATCTAAAATAATTAATAAAATAATGACAATATCTGATTGGCAAATATAAACCCAATCCTCAAATGAATACTTTTATGTCACATATTTCCCAATGATAAAAAAAAACCCAGTAAGATGAGTCATATGTTATATTGACAAAAGGGAAGTCTGTGGTTTTGATATACGATGTTATTATAAAACATAACTGTCTCGTAACTGGGATAAAATCTTGAATGGTATGTTTTGCTTTCCTATTTACTCATTCTTTTCTACTCGTGTTTATTCCATGAAATATTCACGCATATATAGGATTCTGTTATTTTAACTGTAGTATAAATTTGAATTATATATTTAGAAAAACACTCATTCTTTTTTTTATATTAAATATATGTAAAATACTAATAAACAAACGGACATTATATGTGTAGAATACAAATGAAAGTTATTTTATCAATATAGTTTTGATTATAATGTCAGTTCTCCATATCTAATGAAATTATTATTGTAGATTGATACTATTTTTTTAGTTCCGTGATTTAACAGAGTTAAAAAAATTATTCAAACATAGAAACAACACAAGACACACAGTCAATATGCAGTCGAAGATAACTGAGAACAAATTAGATAATAACAACGTGCCAACACTTGTATCGTCATCGTCTAGCTCTAGATTACAACAACAACAATCAACAGATTCTACTACTCTTTGTATTGTATGTTTAACAAGGAATCGAGCATTAGCATTAGTACCTTGCGGACATTTTAATGTATGTGTACTGTGTGGTCACAGTTTGGGTACGTGTCCAACCTGCAAGACAAATATTAAAGCATTAGTTAGAGTTTATGATTGACCTATGTATCAGATATTTTGATTATTTTCACATGAATAAAGTTTCCTTTATGATGTGTAAAAGAATATGAGTTTTACAATCGATTCATATATAAACTCCAGTAAATAATTTTATAAATTACTTTTTTGTCAATTGCTTTTGAATAGAATCAATACTTAAGGCGAATGTAAATAATAACGACAGAAGTTTTATGAATATGTTCATTCATTTAACTGAAAAAAAATTACAACGATGTGATAGTTATATAAGACGTATATTTTATTCCGAATCAATACTACTGACATGTTTGAGAAAAAATTGAATGACACCTTTGATGTACTTATTATATACTTCTTCAGCATCAGCTTCAGCTAACAGAAGAACATAGGGAATATGATTTAGTTGAAGTTGTTGTGCAAGAAATGTCGAACTAGAATTTTTGTTGGAATTATTAATCCAGTTGATCCTCGAGTTGAAATACGAGAAGAAGTTTGTGAACGAGTATTAGAAGCAACAATATATATACCGATTGAACAATTAAGTACAACAGATGACTGTAAATTTTCACTATTTGATAATGATCAATCAACACCAAGACAAATTGCTTTTGATAAAATACGAGCACGTTTAGAAGGAACACGTATGGCTGAAGAACAATTAATGGCAAAAAAACGAACAAAGATTTAAAATAAAAAACTATATGAATTATAAACATTAATGAATGTAATATTTCTATTTGACAATAGCATTTTAGTTAGAGCTTAATCTTTTAAATTGAATTTATTGTCTCTAATAAATAAAAAAAAGATTAAATATTCAACCATTACCAATATTACAATATAATTATAGTTTATTAAAAACATAAAAGGTTTATTTATATTTTTCTTTTAAATAAATAGATATAAAGTTTGATCGATAGTAGATACTATCGATCGCAGTTTTTGGTCTACATTCTATTAGAAAGTATAACCTAGATTATCCCAGAAATCGCAAAATGGATTTCCACGGTAATTGTTCACATATCCCGTGGTATCTAATGTAAGATAAAGACTTGTGTTGGTGTTTATTGTAAATGCATCCCAAGTAGGCGAAGCGCATGATGAACTATATGGGTTTCCTGTTTTCCCAAAATTTGTCCAACGACATCCAATCGATTGAGCAAAGATTTCTTCTTCGTCTGTAAATTGAATAGTTGGTATATTTGGTGGATTAAAAACAAATGGCATTTCACTCTTATGACATACATGAGTATAACAATCTGGAGCCCAATGTGATGAACCATAAAGTAATTGAACTGCCTGAATAATGTAATCAAAAACGTATGAATATATATTTGTATTGCCAGCAAGTGTAAGTGATCTACTCATATTACGCATGGGGCAAGTGAATGCATAATCAGCAAGAATTTGAGCAATGATATCATGATAGTCTTTCTTGAATGGATTAGTAATATTATAAAGTTCTGATATTTTATCTACATTTTGTGGAAACCATAAAAAACCAACGATTCCTTTAGCTATAAGATAGTTAAGTGGAACCGATTTGTTTACTGCTTCATCAATAAACAATGTGCCTTCATCTTTATCAATGCCCCAAATGACTGGTATAGTAATTTGAGAAGCATACCGATTGATAAAATCAACATTACCATACTGTAGGTAAAATGAAGGAAGATTTAAGGTAGCGTCCCATGGTAAACCAACAGTAAGTGGTTTATTTAAGTATGTTGGTATATCATACTTAATGAGACTTGAATATTTAAGAATGTCTGCAGCACTTTTGTTACGAAGGCATTCAATTACATCGAGTGAAGGATAACAGCCACATAACTGGGCAAATTGTCGATTATATGCTTTTGATTGTTCTAATGATCGTGGTTGAATACCAGCAGGCCATGATTGAAAGAGAACTCGATGAAAAAGTTTAAATTCATTGTATTTTAAAAATTGCTGTTGCATATGAAAACCCACCGATGATGCACCAGCAGATTGTCCCCATATAGTTACATTTGATGGATCACCACCAAAATAGATCACATTCTGCTGAATCCATTCTAAGCATTTTTGTTGATCAAGTAATGCAACATTTCCAGGAGCTCTACTATCAGTAATATTATCAGAAAAATAGAAACCAAATGCTTGTAAACGATAATTACACGTAATGACAATAACACCTTGATTGAGTCCAACAAGACGGCTAGCATTTAGTAGTTGTACTCCTGCAGCACCTACAGTAAAGGATCCACCATTAAAATGAACCATAACTGGCAGATTAGCATTGCTTGATGTTTGTGGAGGTCGATAAATATTTAATGTAAAACAACATTCGGTGGAATTTGTTGGGCAAGCACTTGGATATGATGTACAATTTTGCATACAACCTGGTGCTGGAGTTATTGCATAAAATGTTTGTGTCCATGGCTGAACATCCTTTACTGGCGCAAATCGTTTAGGACATTCACCATATTTGATTCCTAAGAACTCATCGGCATATGAATTTCTTAAACCTTGTACTTGTCCTTGACTGATTTGTATAGGTTCTGTTAATTCACATTTAATTCCAATAATGCAAATAAATCCGAGTAATAATAATTGTTTTATCATTAGTAACAATCTTCTTGAAAAAATGTTTGTATACTTTATATTATATAAAGAAATATTTTCTTCTAGCTTTCATTTAATATTCTTCTGTTTTTATACGTCGATAATATCGTTATTATTCACTAGTCTATGCGTCATTGTAATTGGACCATATAAAGAAAAGCATTGAAAAGCCTGTATTTTGAATATATAAATACGTATTAGTAATTATCTATTTTTTTTTCTACTGGATTAACCTCATAGATAATTTTTTTCATAGGTAATATGAGTATAAACATATAGGTAAAAATAAACCATAGTTTGCGTCATACACATTACTGTGCGCAACAGAAATCTGTTTATTGTATAGTTTTGATTGTCATATATTGAATGAAATATTATAAACGTCGAAAAACAATAGAATATGATATATTACATTAAACAGAGTTTTTGCAAATTATTAGAAAAACTTCGATTGAAAATGAATATAAGTTTCAGTCAATAGATGAAATCGCTATCGTCATAAGCATTTTCTTATATTTGTTGATTTATCATTATATTATATCACTTATATTTAACACAATATCGATAGATATAAACCAAATATTTTTTTATCAAAGTTCATGTGTCAACTAAACACATGTAATATCATATGTTGCTTTTAATCATTTATAGGATATCAAAAATAATTTTTTTTCATTTGAATCTTCGATATGATAATATTGCTGTATATTAAAATTGATCAGAAGGTTTTCTAAGAATATAACAATAATATAATGTGATTTAAAACTATCCATAACTCGTTGTGTTTCGAAATAATTTCTTAATAAGACTAATATATAACTTGCTTACACGATTTTGATTAATAGTTAGGTTATATGAACTATTATTATAAATTTCATCTTTTAGGTATTTGCTTGCAACCTTTTAGTATTTGTATTTAGAGATTTATTTGATGACTATTGATTATTTATATTAGAGATATAATTATTGTCTTCTGAAATGACAACGGTATCAATGCAGTTTGTAGACTCTATTTATATCATATAAACATAATATGATATGATCCAGACTTGGAACCGGTCAAGTTTTTTCGACCCGGACTGGACCGGCCGGTCTGACATGGTCGCCCGGACCGGACCGGCCGGTTACCGGCCGGTCTATATTTGTAACTGGACCGTTAAAAACCGGTAATTTTTACGGCATAATCTGATGGATAAAATTTAATATATATATGTATTATTCCAGATTTAACGTATACAAACTCAACTAATACTGTATAAGTTCAATATACTTATTAATATGCAAAAAAAGAATTTTCAGTCAGATATAACAGAATAGCATACGTTATATTGTGGAGTTAGATATAATGGTATTAATAAGAATGAGTGCTATTATCTGGCGTAAATCACTGTCGAGTATAAATGATAATAACATATGATTAGTAGAACTCCAAGAAAGAGACATCAGCCGTAAAAATTCTCAAACATTTTTAGGCAAAGTATTTCCAAAAACTGAAGTAGTTAAGAAATAATAGTTGCAATTCTCTCATTTATTACAATTTTATTATGATTTCTTCTTAGTTAAGTAATAGTCAAAGAAAAAAAATGACAATAAAAGAAAAGTCATTTCAGCACTTAAATTAAGCATCTAAATCTATTACTGATTTGTGAATCAATTTCATAAATATTTTTGTAGTGATCTGATAAGGAAGAAAATATGTGTCAAAATGTCGTTAAATACAACGATCGAATACCAAAGGGAGAGTTAAACAATACTCAGATCAAATAAATATAATGGTTGTCATAAAAACCACATAATAAGAAACACTACACATAAGTAATAAGAAACTACAGACAGACTAGATATCCCTAACTCAACAAAGATAAACAATATAAGCAATAAGAAAATGTCAATTATTCAATAAATATAAAGATGAGTGTTGAAATTGAAATACAAAGTCTTTTTGTTCATCAGTTTAATATAAAGCTATAGCATGAAATTCAAATGTACAGACACTTATCGTCTGGAAAATATCAAGCAAAAACTTCGAAATTCAACTTTTAAAATTGTGTTGAGATGTAAAAATTATGTAGAAATAATATCATATACTGTCTGTCCCACCTCTCACACTTCGATTTCTAACTATCAACATGATATTTTTATCAATTTTAGTGTATATCATGTAAAAACAATTATGCAGTATCCCCTAAAAATGGAAAAAAAACCGGTAGATACCGGTAAAAACCGGCCGGTCTGAAAAGTTGACCCGGGCTGGACCGATGACCGGCAAACCGGCCGGTCCGGTACCGGTTTGCCGGACCGGTTCCATGTCTGATATGATCACGCTGTATATTCGTTCTTTTGTACATTCAGACTTTCTAATTTTGTTATAGTCTCATTAAATCAATGTGTTAATTTTATTTCATTCTCGAATAGTTTAAGGAAAATTTCGATTATGATTGATACTTGAGGGTGTGGGTGTGGGTGTAGGTTTAAAGAAGAGATCTTCACACCCACACACACACCCATTTTATTTATTTTCGATTTACATTATTTTTTGTAGCGATCCATTCGCATCTTTGATTTTTGAAATGACTCATTAATAACAATATTTGAACTTTAACTATCATTTCTATCGTATATTATTCTCACTGCATCTATATAGGTCAATAGAAAGGTTATGCTAAAAATGACGTCGGACGATGAACCTATAATTTAGTCAGTCGGCTATGTCTTGCCAATTGAGATATATAAATAATGTGAATAATTATTCAAATTTATTTATCGATATCAAGATGAAATTTGAATCATTACCAAATGAAATATTTCTTGAATGTCTTCAATATTTCGATGGATTACAAATATTTCATTCATTTGATCAATTAAATTCTCGTTTTAATCGATTAATTCGAACTATTCCATTGTATGTTAATTTTGATGAAATCAAGCAATGTTTATTTGATAAATTTTGTCAAACAATATTATTAAATCCCGAAATAAAACAAACTATTATTTATTTAAAATTATCAAATGATAAAATCTATCAACAAATTGAAAATTTTTTTTCATTATTTTCATTAAATGAATTTCTTCATCTTCGATCATTATCATTATTTGGTATTTATAATGGTAAAGTTCAACAAATACAATCGAATTTATCATATATATTAGATCTACATTATTTCCATTGCACAACATATTCAGATAGTAAATTTTTAATAACATCTGCTTTAACAAAATCTAAAATTGAAATTTTAAATTTACGAAAATTTACTTTAAATTCTACAGATATTTATGAAACAATGTCACTTACATCATTAACTGTTTATGAATGTACTCTAAATGATATATGTCATTTATTTAAATATACACCAATGTTAAAATATTTAGAGATTACAAAATTTTGCAAGAGTGAAATTACAAATAATGAATTGGATATTACAAATACAAATGTTGGCCAATTAAAAAAATTAATTATTCATTATTCTGAAGTAAAATTTGAAGAAATTGAATTATTATTAAAATGTCTATCAAATTTAAATATATTCTCAATAAGAAGTCATGAAATAACAATAATTGATGCTGCTCGTTGGCAATATCTTATTGAAAATTCACTTCCACATTTACATATATTTAAGTTTAATTTTAGCTATTCTGCTTATGATTCATCTGATGAAAAATTAAGTAAAATTCGAAAATTTCAAACTGATTTTTGGCAAAAACAACATCAATGGTATACAATTAACGAAATCGATCAGTCATCAGCATCAGTTTATACAATACCAAATATTTCACGAGTATATACCTTAGGATCTACGACAAAAATCTATGAAAATTCATTAGTGAACAATTCAACTATATTTAATAATGTTACAAGTTTATATTTGGTACCAAAAGCAATAGGAAATAATTCATTATCTTATTTTCGAAATGTAAAATCATTAAGATTATCACGAGAACTCATTTTCTTCAATAATGATGATGAGGAAGAGGAGGAGAAGACGTACGAGTGTGATATATCACGAACACATATAAACAATCTACATAGGATTGTCAATCTATCGTGTATCACCTATTTGGAGGTTGGTTCTGGCTTTCATCTTTCATCATGTTTATTGACAAAAATTCTTCAAAAACTATCAAATGTAAATTCATTAGAAATTCCTAAACCAGTTCTAATATCATATCTTGAAAATCGTCAATTATGTAAAATATTAAATAAGAAGATTAAAAAATTATATATCCCCTCCTATTCTTCTCGCTTTGGATGTCAACATATAAAATTAAATCAAATTGATTGGTTGTATAAAGCATTTTCAAATCTAGAACAACTTAAATGTTCTATTAAAAATATTCAATGTTTGGTTTCATTATTAGAAAAATTTTCACAATTATCACGATTGACTATCGTAAATACAAATGCACAAATAAAATCATGGATTAACACCAATGCATCGACATTCAATGTTCATTTTGACACATTCTAAAATAAGAAAAGAATTTATTTTATGTATATATACTTGTTTAAAAATAAAATTTAGAAAGTGATTTTCTTTTGACAACCTTTAAAAAGATATCAAATAGAAACAGTGTTACAAGAATTATTCTCAATGAGTACCGATAAATTTTCAAATTTAGAATTAGAACCAAGCAGTGGCGGCGCGAAGAGCTAAAAGCAGGAGGGGGTAATCACAAAAAGCGAGAAAGAAAAAACAACATTTTCTCAGTTTCAGTTTTCATGGATTTTAGAAAAAATTTTCCGCCTTAACTACTCAAAAACCAAAACTGATGACCAAAAAAAAAAGGTCTTTGGTTTAGGTTTTATGGGATTCTGCAGATCTAAACCTAGATTTCAAATCCAAAATGGCAAAAAATGAGAAAATAAATGGGTCCCAAACCAGAAAGTCAGCGTAAAAATCGGAGAAAATTCAGTCTTTTTTCCAAGAGCAGGAGGGGGGTACTCCCCTAACCCCCCCCCCGCTCGCGCCGCCACTAATCGTTTCTATTTTTATCATATAAACATAATATGACATGACCACGCTGTATATTCGTTCTTTTATACATTCAGACTTTCTAATTTTACTATAGTCTCATTAAATCAATGTATTAATTTTATTTCATTCTCGAATAGTTTAAGGAAAATTTCAATTATGATTGATGCTTAAAATAATCATTGACTCACTATCGACTATTGATGTCTTTCCATAAAGATAGTATAATTATTTAAAAGGATCACGAAAAAAACAATAGAGATATTATACATTGTGTGTGTGTACAACATATAATAAAAGAAAGAAAACATATCATCGCTCGGTACATATGTATATCTATATATATAACGACAGAAAAGTAAACAACAGTTGATTTTTTATTTTCAATTGTCGATAAATAAAGTGATAATACAATTATGTTAATAATATCAACTATGCGTTTAGTTATTCTATTAATCTTAGTTAATTTACAGGTATATAGAATTTAAAAAAATAATTAATCATTTACTTGATCTTTTCTTTTTCTGCTAGATATGTACATCATCTGTATTATTTCGTATTAAAAGTAATAATAGAAATGTATTCATAAATTCTAGTTATCTGTTTGGTACATTACATGTTGCACAAAATCTTATCTGGCCTTATCTTTCAAATGAAACAATTCGAATATTAATTGAAAGTGATCAAATTTGGTTAGAACATGATTTTACTGTTGATGAAATGAATGAACATATTTATGGATGTGCAGTTGATAAGATGCCATTAGAAATACGAGCTCGCATACGAAAACAAACCTGGTCTGAATTTCTTAATGAAACCAATATGAAATCTAATAGTAAATATTTCGTTATAAAATCTCTGCAAAAAATAAATATTTGCTTTAAGATCTTAAACAATGGCGACAATGGTTTATTAAAAAACAATCTATATTGAATAAATATTTGTGGCGTAATCAAACAATAACTGATAATATTCTTCTTGATCATCGTATCATTCTTGAAGGTTATCAAAGAGGAAAATATGTTGGTTCACTTGAATCTATTCCCAAGAATTGTTTTCAAGTATAGATATTTAAGTTTTTTTCTTCAATATTAATCTAATTTTTCAATGTATATAGACGGAAAATTCAACAAATGGTAAAAGATTATCTAAAAAGCTGAAATTGAAATATCAAACGACTCTGTCTCATGTATATAATTGCGACAAAATCAATGAAGATTTTCTCGAAAAGATTTGTAGATGTGTTGATACTTTAAAAATGAGAGAACGAAATGAACAAATGGCAAAACAAATTCATAAATTACTTAAAGAAGATCCTCATAAAAAATATTTGTTTGCTGTGGGTGCAGGTATTTTATCGAAATTTTATTATTTTAAATAAAATAAATCATTTTTTTATATTTATAAGCTCATCTATTCGGAAGTATTAGTATTGTTCAAATGTTACAAGAACAGTATAATAATGATTACTTGATTGAACAAATAAATACAACTAATCCAAATTTTTCATATCAGTATGATCTAATTTTAATTCTATAAATACTGATTTTCTTTTATAGATATTGTACCGATGATGAAATCCACGGATCATTAAATACACTCAATCATGTTCAAAACAATACTATCGATAAAAGATTTATTAATGATGAATTTCGTGATCAAATATTAGGACGTTTCTTTGATTGAAACTTATATTTATGTAATAATTTTTCTTAATTATGAAAAAACTTTTTTCGTAAGATAAATAAATAAAATATGAGATTATTTCAATGTTTTTATTTATTGATTAGTAAAAGAAAAAAATAAACGATTTTTAAGCATGTCAATGACAATATCAATTAACTTATACATATCTCTTTTTTTTATCCTTCTCGTATTAGTTACTATTAGTACTACCATTATAAATGGTTTATCGTTGTTATTTCGTCATCGGTAAGATTCATCCCGTTGAAAAAGATTAGTAGTCTTCTCTACTTTATTTCGTCGTATGTCGTTTGTTATAAAATGTCGATGTAATAAAGACAGTATACGACAACGTGTACACAGATGTGTGAGTGCATGTATATATAAGGGTGTGGGTGAAGATGAACAACATATCTTTGCCCTTTCTTTTTTTCTTTACTTTGTCGCTCTTTCTCTCCTTTGTTATGAAAAAGACATTATTCATTTTGAAATAGTTTAACATTGAACATACACACACATAGAGAGAGAGGGATATTAACGCACACCAATTAAATGATGGTCAGTTAGTCAATAAAGTAATACAAAATCAAAGAATGAGATAAAAGAAAATATATTATGACTCGATTACAGTCATTATTATTGTGGATATTAACCATTGTTCTATGCAATATATCAAATAAAGTACTGATCGTAGTCAATGCAAGATGTAAGCTGATCATTTTTTTGATAATAAAATAATAATTTGTTTTTAAGTTTTCGAATATGAATTACCTAATCGAACAATCACAATATGTCCAAGTTATTCATTAATTTCTCTTGAATGTCCACAAATCGGTTCATCATTAGATCATCATTCATGGAAAACAACTCTTCCTAATTATCTTATATCAATTGATTATATTCGTTCATTTCCTTTACGTCTTGGTTATGATACAAGATCATGTCAACCTGATTTAGCTCATGCTTGTAATAATTATGATTTACGTTATATAAATACATTATGTAATGGAAAACCTCAATGTACGGATATATCTGCTTATCAAATACGTGAACGTAGTTTATGTGCTTTTAAAGCAGTTACAGAAATTGGTTTTCATTGTGTACCAACATGGAATTTACATGAAATAGAAACAAAATGTGACATATGTAAAAATACTTCATTAACAACAAATTATGGTTTTATTTATTCAAGAAATTATCCATTGAAAACAGTACGTATGTCATGTTTTACAACAATATATGCAAGACCAAATCAAAAGATTATACTTTATTTTGTTAATGGTGAATTAAATCATGATCAATTAAGAATTGAAAGTGTTACATCAGATGGTTTATCAATTTTAAATATAAGTTTAAATGGAAATTTAACAACACAAAGATTAGCAGCATCAATATATGAAATGAAAATAACATTTATACCAAGTCATATTTATTCATATCATCCAACTTATTATTTACTTTATTTTTATACTATACCTATTTGTTCAATAACTGATCCATGTTTACCGTTGCCATCAATATTACCAACTACACCTCCTATTCTTTTACCAATATCAACAAATCGTATGAGAATTCAATCAGTTGGATGGACAAGAGTACCGAGTAAAGAATAAGTTTTTCTAAATTTTATATTTATTTTTAATTAATAGATATTTGGATTATTATTCCAATTATACTTGCTTATGTACTACTTTTACTTCTCATAGTTGTTTTAGCACTTTTATTACAGTAAGTAAAAAAAAAGAAAAGGAAACTCTTTGAAATAATGTTATCTTTATGTTTTAGACGACGTCGTAAACAACAAAAACTATCAGGAACAATTGGACAACCTAATATATCTCCACGATATTTAGATACAAGTGGTGCTTCAAGTCGTGTTCAACTTGTAACGCCACTACCTCCACCAAATAGTAACAATATTATTCATGATAGTTATTTATCTCGTCGTCGTCCCAGTTTATCACCAAGTACTCATCATTCACAACCACCTTCTTCATTTGCTCAAAATACGGAACGATATCATCGTGGAAGTCGAAGTGATCATGATCTTCATAATGATAACATAGATAGAATAGATTATCGTCATCATGCATCTATTCCTTATCGTATTCGTCCTACAACAATAAATGATAATTATCGAGGTTATGGTACAATGGATCATACACCATATAAATCAGAACGTAATTATCATCGTCGTTCAATACCAAAATCATTTTCTGATTGTGATTTATGTAAACGACGTGTTATTAATGAAGAATATCAACAATATTTAAATGAATATGATGATAATTGGCGTTTAAAAAATACTATCGAAAGAAAAGTAGAACCAAGACCATATCGAGATAAAATTAAAGAACGTGTTCGTGAACGTCTAACAGTACGACAAATTTCTGATGGTGATGTTTTACCATCAACAACAACTGTTGAATATTCTACTGTTTTACCACGTCATCAAAGAATTACAAGTGAATCAAATCGTTCAAATGGACCTGTTCATCATTTACCTTTTGAATACATTCCTAATGATACTTCGAATAATATTCGTACACCTGAATTTAAACGAAATACAAGTCAAGAACGTTTAGCAACAGAAAATAATCATCCACGTATGTTTAATAATGAAAGTGGTACAACTATTTTTACTACAAAATTTTATGAAAATGATGATAATGATACAATACATCGAATTAATAAACGTTTACGTGAACCAAGAGAAATTCAAGAAATGTCATTGAGAATGAATGAACAACAAAATATGAATAAAAATCAATATTATCATCAACCAAGATGTTTTAATGAAAATACTAGCGATATTTAATATATTTTCTTTTCTTCGATAGAACAAAAAAAAATTAATTCATTTTCATGGTCATTGTAAATGTCTTCATCGTTTCTTTTCTTTTCTCTATCAAATGTAACTCTCAGACAAGAACCTTGAATTGAAATTCTTCATGTAACATACTGAATGATTTGACACTTATTATATACATGATCCTTGTCCTATTCTTTTTGTTTGTCATCTCATCTACAAATTTATTTTACTTATTCTATTCTCATATCAATAGTACAATAAGTGTTATTCATTCTAAAACATATATGATATCGATGAAATGAGTAATTATGAAACTGTAGAGAAAATGTAATTCGTTAAAAAACAATAATCATTTCTCATTGAAACATATTTTTTCTGTTTTAAGTAGTTTGAACGAACAAATTGTTATGATTATTAAACAAGAGTAAGTATTCTCTTTTCTTAGACAATAATCTATGTAAATATCTTAATAAATGTCAACATTAACATGAAAGGATTGAAAAAAAACTTTAACCCATCATGTCGTACCAGCATTTATAATTCGTTTCGCTAATTTAATGCTTGTTATTCATATATGGTATCAGAAAAATAGAATGAATCGAGCTAATATATCGTGAAAAAATGTACGCATGAGTATTCAATTACAATTCTCATTGCAATTATTTATTTAATTGTATGGCATCTCGAATATATTCTATTTATCATACTTTCATTAAGATATAGTAAAATTCAGATCTTTCCTGGTTGAATAATCTATGAATACATTGGAAAATTTGACTTCATTTACGATTATTTTGAATTGATAAAAATGAACTACATTTTATGCTATTTTTCGTATTTTCATACTTATACAATGATTACGTTCAACTTTTCTGAATATATATTTCATAGTTTTTAGATAAGTATTCTATTTTATTCTAATCTCAAATCTAAGAAGTGATATTACTCGACTCATCGTATATATATATATTCATCTGGAGCAATATAATTATAATACATATCTGTTTTTAGTTTAAATGATAGATTCGTTATGTTAAGTATTATTTCAACAGAAAAAAAACAATATATCGATACTAGTCATATATACATTGAAATAAATAAGTTTATTAAAGAACAGTTACAATTACGGAACCAGTCGCATTTGATTCAGTCTGACTTTTTTCCATTGGATCATCTTGCTTTCGACGTTGTCTACATAAATCTGTCATAAGTATACTTGGTTTTCCAGATGATGGTAAAATTTTTGTTGTATCAATATGAATTTTTCCTGGTGCTATACCATATTGACCAGCCATTGGAAGAAACCAAAACCAATGATCATCTCGTAATGCTGCAAATATATAAAAACAAGCACTTATAAAATAAAGAATATCAGCATATGTATATAAATAATTTGAACCATATTGTTCGGGAGAAATATTTATCTGTATATTATACACAAGATAAATAATTGATGCAATTGTGGTAACTGAATATGCAATTGTATCTGGATCATCCAAAGTAAATCCACGACCTAATGTTCGAATATAAGTCAAATACCATGACATAATCCTGTTAAATAAATAATATTGTTAGATATATTCTCTGAAATATAAACTTTGTAGTATACAAACAAAAACACAGAAGTAAAATTAGTTGTTATTACAAACAAATGTCTCTCATTATATTGTTCAATTACCCCTACCGTATCTATTTTGATTTTTAATTTTTTTTTCTAAAACACGACTAGTAAGAACTAAGGTGAAGATGGCTAGAGGAAAGTATTCTTTAACTTACCATCCAAATGATGCTATTAATTCAACTATAGCAGCAGCTAATTCTATTCTATGTACTGCTAATGTATAATAACCACCTAAAGTATCTTCTCTTGAATACCAAATAGATGACCATAGATATAATCCAGCTTCAATATGATTCAGATATTCAGGTATCATTATGATATCAAGCCACGAGTGATCACGCCATGCCCACCAATAGAGAAATGCAGATAGTATATGAACAATAGCAAAACCTCGAAAAAAAAATACATAAAATATGTGATAAATAAATTTGGAGATTTCTTTAATTCTACTTACCAATATATAGATGATTAACAAGTGGAACACTATCTACGGATTGATCGAGAATTGACATAGGTGTTGTTGTTGTCATATTATCAGATGTTTCATCAACAGTACTTGCTGATGATGATCCATTAACACTTGGATTAAAATCAATAATTAACATTCCAATAGCATAACCCAAAAAGACAAGATTAGCAAGCATATATCGGCTATGTATTGTTTTTTTAAAGCATGTAGGTACTCGAGTTCGTATTTCTCTCCAACGTAACGCTTGCCAAATCGAATCGAATGCTTGAAGTTCATAAAACGGTGCTGTTGGATCTTTCGTATCATCATCTTCATCAGCTTTATGAAATTTTACTTTTTTCGCAATGGACTTCATCATGAGTCTATTCTGTAATGACGTGTATGTCTATATTAAGAAAAATGTACACTATAAACAAAATATTTTCTTTTTCTCTCGACGTTGTTAAGTTTTTCGATAATTGTCACATGTTGTCGTCGTAAGAGAAGAGAACCCGTAGGTTAATAGGTTTCTTACACAAGCAAAACATATACCTGTATGATTTCTCTATCAAGTATATATTTTTACATGAAAATACTATGCTTCAACTAAGTAAAGAAATTATTTATTTATGTACACACGAACAAGATTTTTCTCTTTGTAAAAAAACTACTTGTTAGAGAAAATTTCAAATGCACGTTTATTCAAAATAAATAAATAATATTTTGCAATTAAATTCAGTTTTTACTTGACTAATATATAGTTTAACATGACTCATCATTTTCTTACAAGAACTTGTTTTTATTTTGTTTAATTCTTAGATTAGAAGTTTGATATTATTTCTTGTAAAATTCATGTGTTAATAAATACATATATGTATATATTCATTCAATCATGACACATGAAATGATATTCTTCTCGCCACATTACTAGAAAATTACTATCGTTATTTAACGCATTCTATGCTTTATAATAAGTCATTATTTTTCTTTTAAACGATCACTTCATTGTTATTGTTGATATTTTCTATTTTATTCCAAGGCTTTTAGATATTTAAATAGATCTAACACGTCATTTACTCATCTCATGGCCATCTGTTGAAGGAAAAAGAAAACATGTCGATCAATAATTATTCTAACACATTTATTGGTAAATATTAGTATAAAAATTTATCAGGGATTATTTTTTTTAATATTTTTGTTCAAATAAATGCATCTGTTATCAATAAAAATATTTATTAGTATATATCACGTATTTTCTATATTTATTCTATAGTTTTTAAAAATATAGAAAAACCTGTATATATATATATATAAGTACGATAGAACGTATTCTTTGTTATTAAATTAAAAATCATAACGATGAAATCAGCGACAATTTTTGCTTTTTGCTTGTTGGTAAGTGGAAAATTTGTCTATATATCGATGTAAAGGATTGTAAATATGTAGATGTGCTATATTCATGTGGTATCTAGTGTTACAAATAAATCATCGACAATGAAAACTCCTTCAGAAAAATTAACAAAAGAGAAAAAGCCAACATCTACAAATAAAGCGGATGGTAATACTGCAAAGACAAAAGATAAAAACAAAAAGCCCTTAAAAGATTCGAATAATCGTGATACAACAAAAGCTAAAAGATCTCCACAAAGTTAATATTATAATATTTTTCTTTTTCATCTATTGAAATTTTTATTTCTTTTTAGTACGAACACCATTCGATAAAGTTCTTGATAAACTAACACGTTGTGCATCTTCATCACCTTCATTAGTAGAAGTAATGGAAGAAAATCTTAAAGAACTTCAAACAGATGCAAAATATACGGCACTTTTTCAAGCTGCACCACATACAGCAGCATTTATAAAAAAGAAAAATAAAGATTCATCTAAATTTATTACTGGATTACGTCAAGCTCTTGGTTTTGATTGGTCAAATCCAGCTTGGAAATCAACGGATGAAATCGATACACTCTTTCGTCCATTTAAACAACAATTTGTTTATGCTATGATGAGATTTAATTGTACTTCTTAACTTTTCTTTTTCTTTTTAATTAATACCTTTGTATTGATAAGATAATAAATAAAAATATCTGAATAATCAAAACCTTATCATAATTCAATATAATTCTATTAGCGTATTAAATTGTCTCAAGATAACGTCCGACATAATTTTCCGATGAAAAGTTTCTGATAACAATGACGAGAAAATATATGATGTATAATTAGCAATAAAAAGTGAAACAAATAATAAGTAAGATGATGTATTCATATGAATAATAATCTTGAAAAGTATCAAGATAAATTATATGCGACATACTACGAGTATTATCAAATAGAAACTATAAGATAAGAGTATGTAAGAAGCAATATTCAGTTCATAAATGACATCAAATTGTTTGTATCAACTGATAAAAATATTCGAAATAAATGAGTAATATCTAACTTGAAACTTGAATTCAACTACTTAACCATTGATTTTCATCTCGTTATATATATATACGTATTCATATTCATTTAATATGGATGAGTTTATCAATGATATGAACTATTCTTTAATACTGGAACAAAAATAATAATTCATTCTATTGGTAAAATAAACTTTTCTTTTCTCCTATATATTTCTATATTTCTGTTGAATGTCTCTCTTTCTTATTCAGACATAATAATATAATCGTAAAGATCTTTTCAAATGTATTGTTTACCTTACTGGTATGAGTGTTACTGTCCATATTATCTCCTGAACAAGAACAGAGTTTCAATAGATATATTTTCTTTTTCATGTTTTATTTTACTTTCAACAAAAAAAAGAATACAGAAAGAAATTATAATTTCTTTTTTATGATTTCAAGGTTTTTTCTATACATTTTAAGATCAGGATGGTTTGTTGGTAATGATTGTTGTCCAATTTGTACAGCTTGTTCATAAAATGAATGCGCTTCTGCATAGTTGTTCATATTCTCATACACCAAACCGACGTTGTTATAGGTACTACTCAAACTAGGATGATTGGAGGGTAGTGATTGCTGTTTGATTGCAAGAGCTTTCTCAAGGTGAGAAAGTGCTTTTGGATAATCATGCATGTTATAATACTCCAAACCAATGTTGTTATAGGACACAGCCAAATCAGAATGATCGGAAGAAAGTGATTGCAGTTTTATTGCAAGAGCTTTTTCATGAGATGAAATTGCTTTTGAATAATCACCCATGTTGGAATACGCACTACCAACGTTGTTATATGAAACACCTAAATCAGAATGATTGGAAGGAAGTGTTTGTTGCTGAATTGCAAGAGCTTTTTCATAATAAGAAAGTGCTTTTGGATAATCACCCATTTTGTAATACACCAAACCGATATTGTTATAAGACATAGACAAATCAGGATGATCGGAAGGAAGCGATTGTTGTTTGATGGCAAGGGCTTTTTCATGAGACGTAAGTGCTTTTGGATAATCACCCATTTCGTAAAACACCAAACCAATATTGTTATAGGACATAGCCCAACTAAGATGATTGGAAGGAAATGCTTTTTCATAATATGTAAGTGCTTCTTGATATTTTCCTTGATTATATTTGATAGAACCTATTTGATGATAAATATGCGCCTTGTCACTTTCGTGTGTTATTTGATGAAGTAAAACTTCATAAACTTCTTGAGCCTTGCTATACTGACCCATTTTAATTAGCAGTAATCCTAATCTATCCCATCCTTTCGAATCTGGAAAGGTCTCCTGTCGTATACAATCAGTAAGAGTACGAAGATTTTGGTCAGTGTCATTGGCCAATGTTAACTTTACTTTATGGAGATGAACATTTCCCTTCATTGGTTTAATACCTTCAATGCGAAAAATGGTGTGCATAGAGAAAAGAATCTCATGTTCCGTATGAAAATAACTAACGTCAGTAACAGAAGCGAATGGAACTGTTGAATTAGTAGGATCAATGGACATAACAAACAGTATTCCAACAAGATCAGGATTTGTAGCAGCTTCTTGGGCAAATTTTAGAGATACATTACGTTTTTTACTAGTTGATAAAAAGTTGTTAAATGAAAGAAGTCCACCGTTAGTTTTTGTCATTTCAGTGAAATCATCTTTCGAGAGACCTTGTCCACGATAAACTATAAATGTTTTACGTGATCTACGACGGTCAGATTGTTCTGAATGTAGACGTTGAATATCACGATGTAGATCATTAATAAAGAAACCCATTCGAACAATCATATCAACATCCATTAATCTTAATGACCAATTGAGCGTACGATATAAAAATGCATCCGATGTATACCACCATATGGGTATGTTGTTTTTGTATGTTGTTTGTAATTGATTAACATTTTGTGGAACTCACGTAAGTTTTCGAAGAAAATCGTGAGTGTAAGTTTTAAGTTCCAGTTTCCCAGCTCCCCTCCCCCCTCCCCCCAAATTCAATAAAAATACACAAAAATCATTAAAAATAGCTATAAATTACTACAAATTTAATAAAAAAAAATAACGAAAATGGCTATAAATTGCGGGAACTTTTATGAAAATAATGACAAATCGCTAAAAATAGCTATATACTGCCGCGAATTTAATATAAATAACCAAAAATTGTCAAAAATAGCTATAAATTAACTAAATTTGAGCAAAAAAAGAAGACAAAGCGCTTAAACATGATCAGATATTTTGATGCGAACATACGTGAGTTCCACATTTTTAGCCCCAACGGGGCTGCGCTGATAAGCTTTTTTAATTCATTTTCATCAAATACTTCACGAGAGTAAGTAATAAATTCTTTAATATGTTTGTCTTCGAAGTTGATCTGTAGTAGAATCTCTTTCAGGATCCGAGTATACATAAATGATGGATCTAATTGATCGAATTTCTTGTTTGATGCTACAAAACTAATCGAAATTACATTTTGCTCACATCGGTGAGCAGCTTGTTTAAGAGCTTCACAGATTGGTGTTATATCTGTGAAGACTCCTTTTATTTTAGACCATTCATTGGCCCATTGTTTATGCCATTCTTGATTGTTACAAAAAATGAAAATGGTATCGACTTGGCACATATCATGCACATGCGGCACAATATGTTGTCCAAGTGAACCAGAAACAATCATATATACCTTGTTATTAACAATAGTTTGAATATACTTAACACATTGTTCACCATCTGTAAATGTGTTTACGTTGTTAATTAGACATTTTAATTGCTGAATTGTATTCCTACAATGAGCATTATTATTATTGATATTGCTATCCAACCAAATCAGGATGACATTTTGCATTCTTTGCATGTTCAAACGTCGATTTACAGTTGCACTCGTGGAGAGATCAGATGTTGGCTTAACGTATTTTACATTTCTGCGTACGGTAGAAGATGTCGACTTTCCATTTCCCATTACCTTAAATGCAAATGTGTTGTATTTGACGTCTTCGATTAATATTTGTAGGTGAGAGAATTATAAAAGTGATTCAATCTCTAGTGTCTCTACTTTCTATTTAGATTTTTGAATTGAATCGCAAGAGTTTTTTCATTAACAATTGTAGATATTGTTATGAAAAACAAGAACGATCAATACACAGATTCCGCAGTCATAAACAGAAAACGGAACTGAAATGGTTAAGTACTTTTACAGTTGTCAGTCACAAAAATAATCGGCAAAAAGAAATTTTATAACGTATTTTAACGAAGAAAAAAAACAATCTCCAACGATTTTTTTCTCTTTCTGCTCTCATGTTTGATGTTATTGAAGATTCGAAAGTTGGAAATAGTTATATTATCGCATGCATTAAAATTTCTAAAAAAATTGACAGTGTTGTTGTTCAAACACAAAACATTTATAATTCTTTATTTCAATGATCAAATATATGAAGCACGGAGAAAACTGTTTAAATTATTTGTTTTTTGTCGTTCTGTTAAATTTTGTTGTTATTTTTTCTACTTCACAGCAAGGTATGACATACTACATAATGCTGCAAAAGAGTAGATTTGAAATAAACGAACGAAAAGAAATACTATAACCGTTACTCTGTCATCTACACAAATAAAACTGATAAATCAGAACTGTATGGTACATCATTTTCTACAATATTCGTTAAAGAAGTGAAACATAAGCATATAGTAGAAAAAATGCACTTATTAAAGTTTTTCTTGTTTGTTTATCTCTAAAATTACAGACTAGATCATATTCGAGTTTTACTGGATTACGAAATATGATACGAGGCTCGATGCTGTTTTTTTTCAACATTTTGGGGTGATTAAAAAGAAAAAAGTTCATTATTTCAGATAAATTTGTCATACAACACGTCAAATTATAGTAAATTCGTCAATCATGAACGTAGTGCTCTTAATTTTTTCCTCGATTCACACGTTTGACTGTTTCATGAGAATAAATTCTGTACCATCTTACAAAATATGTATATGTGATTTTAAACAAAACTAAATAATAAAGAAAATCATTCATCCTCTGCTGATTATAATCGAGAACAGAACATTCATGTCTATTAGGTATCATTTCATATCGAGAAAATAATTTTAACAAAAATGTTGCGTACAATTGTTATCTTGATTCTGTCATTTTCGAGTTGATATCATTCTTTTTCTTTCTACCAACAAGTAATTACAACATCATCTGAAATCTATGAAACAAAAAAAATATCCACGTATTTAATGATAAGATAGACAGAGAAAATATATATATATAACTAACATATAAGTCTACACAACATACATTCCATCAACAGTTAATAATGACAAGTCAAACTGTCGTCAACTTCATTACGTTACCGGTAGAACTGGTCTACCGAATTTTAGATCATCAATCATATCTCACAATCTTATGCTCAATGAGAAATGTGTGTCAACGATTCGACAAGATCGTAGACAGTTACGATCGACATCAGGTAAACTTTTTTTCATCATGATAGTTTTATTTTTATCTATAGTTTCAAATTAAGTAGAATGACTGAGATAAAATATGCATGAAAAGACTATTTGCCATTCAAACGAATTCATCAGTTATTTATTTCTTCCAAAAATTCCTTTTTTTTCTTCTCCTTTCTATCTCATCTAAATATTCTACCTTCCAAACTAGGTATGTTACCATAAACATACACTGTTTAGATAAGGATGAAAAAAAGAACCATTTTGATAATAAAAATAAACTTTTGAAAGAATTAAATGTCGATAAGTGATTTTATCTTCTTATAAATAATCTCTTCAATATTTTCATAAGAAATACTTCTTTAAGAGCATGCGCGAGTGTGAGTACAATGGACGGTAGATGTGGATGGAGGGAAGATTCGCTCACAACACCATTCGCATTCTCATACCAATACCAACAAGGTGAAACATTTCTACAAGGAATACTATCTCTAAAGTAAATTCTTTTCCAAAATAATTTCACCAGAATGAATTTCATCTGAAGCACATTTTGTCAACGTCTAACATTGTGAAACAAATTGATTGACTTTCCACCTTTTATACAACAATTTTGCTTCATGAACACAGCCGTATATGATTGCATCGAAAGCAATTATTGAAATCAATATATATTCTTACTTATATAAATCATACGAATCAATAAGACCAAGTTTCATAACTCACACGGAGTTCTCATGCAAAACACATCGCGTCTGAATAGTGAACATGAAAGAAAGCCGTTTATTAACTACTGAAAAGAAACTACCTTTCGTCATACCCACATAATACGAATAGCCGCAGCCTTATATTTTACTACTCTCAAAACCATATAGTACAATACAGTATCATCTGAGTACATAATACTAGAATTGTCTTGCTCAGAAGTAACTCCCGAAGTATTTTTCATTAACCAAAATCTTTTCCTTCTGTCACAAAAAATTAAGAAATTACACGAACAAACAGATCAAAATTTTCTTTTCCTACTTCACCTTGGTAGTATCTTTTCAGTCTAGATTTCCACAAAAACATCACCCTACAATATAGAGAATATAGCAATCAATAAATAGTCATACTCGTACCCATAAGCCTTAGAACGCAGTGAGAATAGCATTCATTCCACTGCTCTAGCCGACTGTGCTACCGATCCACCATTCTGTCTATTCATTTGTGCCGTGCATTGCCCTCCACTTTTTCATCTAGACATTCACCACATTAGATCTCTCAGGTAAAAATTTGAAAGATACTACAGCACAACATTTGGGTGATGTATTAAAACACAACACGGTAACTTTCATTATCTATTAATGTATACTAGACCTTTACCTCCGCTTTCTCATCTAGACACTCACTGAATTAAATCTCTCGAGCAATAAAATTGGACATGTTGGCGCACAGCATTTAGGTAATGGACTACGTTATAACACGGTATCTTTCATTCTCTTTTTATCTATGCCACATCTTTACCTCCGCTTTCTCATCCAGGCACTCACCATATTAAATCTCGGATTTACTCAAATTGGAGACATTGGAGCTTACTTGTTAAGTGATGCGTTAAAACACAACACAGTAACTTTCATATTTTTTTGATTTATACGATACGTTTACACCTAAGTCTTCATCTAGACACTCACTACACTAACTATTGATTATACTCAAATCGGAGATCTTGGAGCAAAATCTTTCGGAGATGCATTAAAACACAATACAGTAACTCTTATTCCCTTTTTATCTATATTATGTCTTTACCTCCGCTTTTTCATCTAGACACT